TAAGAATAAGAATAAGAATAAGAATAAGAATAAGAATAAGAATAATACAGGCATAGTCAATCAAAATTATAAAGTCATTGACTGGTATTACATAACAGATACATGTTTTAACTAAAAATCTAAGTATCTGTTAAATATTGGCACAGTATGTATGCTATTCCTAATATTGCTCTTTTTGCAGCTCTCATGGTGTTATTTCTGAGATCTGTAACTGCTTATAATATTGTGTGAAATTTTTTTATCTTGTTCCCTGGACAACAGGGACCAATAAAGTGTGTTTCATCAACAAGTGAGATGTTTTGATTGCCAGATCTTTGTATTTTGTTAGTTTTTCCAATTCTTTAACTTCAAATCTGGTATCCCCTGGAATTGCAAAGTCAAAGATTCAGACAGTTCTTTATTCTGTTAATGTGATGTTTGATGTGTAATGTTCAAGGTGTCTTATCAATTTGGATCTGGAAATCACACAAAATCTTCATTATTTCTACCTGATGTTTGAGTGGGTTCTTGGAGGGTGTCAAGTTTTATTTTTTGCATAATGACCAGTGCACTAATTTTGTCACTCTGTCATGTCTAATTTTGTAATCTGTTTGTGCAATTTTTTGACATTCACAGATGAGGTATGACACAGTTTCAACTTTTTCTTTGCAGAGTCGACATTTGCTGTTAGTACCAACTCCTTGGATCTTAACTTTCATCACGTTGTTTTGGAGTGCTTGTTCTTGTGCAGCAAAAATCTGAAAAATGCTGAAATATGGTATCCCAAACCAGCTTTATTTAAAATTGTGGAGACGAAGATTAGTGAGACGTTAAACAGCAGTGGTGACAAAGAATCCCCTTGAAATATTCCTCTTTTGATTCCCCAATTTCTAATGACTTTTTATAGGCCATGTTAAGATTTATTTCCTTAGTATCATGTTATCAGTTAGCTATTGATCTTTCGTGCCCCTTGACTTTTAGAAGTTCCCTTTCTGTTCAGTTGGGAGTTTTCAAATAAATAATGATATATTGATCTTGCAACTAAGCCTGTGTGGAGCTTGAGCGTTGTTGGAAGGCGTGTAATTGGTTGATAATTACTGGGTTCATTGCCCTTTTGATGATCTTTTATTATCTGAAGTGTGCTGCCTGTTGTCATCCAATCTTCAGCTGTAGAATTTTGAAGTGATTAAATTTCACTGCGTACATTGATAGAGACTTGTTAAATGCTTTAAGCAAAATCCATGCAGCTCATCTCGACCAGGTGCACTCCAGTTTTTCACAGCCTTTAATGGCCTCTTAATAATTTCAGTTATTACAATATCAGCCATATTTATTTATTTATTTACAAGATTTTTTAGCGGTGCCATTACCAGTGGTCTCTGAGAGGCATACAACAATATTAAAACTTTAAAAACATTAAAACCATTAAAATAGGCAATATTGTAATAATATCCTATGTTAAAAACAATCATTAAAACATTAATATTAATAAATCCTGCTGCTCATATGGCCAGCTAAAGGATACTATTTAATTAAAATGCTGGCTAAACAGAAAGGTCTTTGGCTGGTGTCGAAAAGGCAAAAGTGTTGGAGCCAGGCGGATCTCTATAGGGAGGGCGTTCCAAAGTTGGGGGGCAACAGCTAAGAAGGCCCTATTTCGGCATGCCATCCCCCTCACCTATTTCAGGGATGGCACCTTCTGAAGGGCCTCTTGGCCTGATCTTATAGGACAGGGAGGCTCATATGGAAGAAGGCAGTCCTTTAGGTAACCAGGCCCTAAGCTGTTTAGGGCTTTATATGTCAAAGTAAGCACTTTGAATTGGGCCCGAGCAGCAACCGGCAGCCAGTGTACATTTTTCAGAACCGCCGTGATATGAGTCCATGCGGCGGCACCACGTGCCAGCCGTGCAGCCGAGTTCTGTGCCAGTTGCAGTCGCCGGACCGTCTTCAAAGGCTGTCCCGTGTATAGCGCATTGCAGTAGTCCTGTCTGGTTGTTACCAGTGCATGAGTGACTCTTACCAGGCTCCGCTCATCTAAATAAGGGCAAAGTTGATATATTCTCTGCAGCTGTAACAAGGAACTCCTGAACACTGAGTTGTTGATATATTCTCTGCAGCAGTAAGAAGGAATTCCTGAACACTGAGTTCACTTGGGTTTCCAAGGTCAGACCCGGGTCAAGGAGCACCCCCATATGTTTTCCTTGACTTTCTTTACAAATGTCTTTAATCCATGAAGCATTTTTGTTATGTCTGGTTGGACTTCCTGAAATTTCTACCAAAATTTTAGAGCATCATCTTTACATGGGCCTGATTTCTTTTGCTCCACATTAGCTCCTAGTGATTTATAGAATAATTGTTGGTTATTTCAACGTTGTGTGCTTTCTTTATATTGTTTCAGGTGTTCATCATACTTTTCCATTTTCTTTGCTGTAGTTGTTATCCATTGTTTTAACCCTTCCATGATTTCAATAATTGTTTTCCTTTCTAGGTTTCTATACTTTGCATAGCTTGGCTTTTACTTTTTCATTTTAAAGTTTTGAATCTTCAAGTATTTTAAGTTGCTAATGTCAGTGCGTAATTTTTTTCCATTTTGGAGTGCCAGGAGTTCATGATAATTGACTGTTCCCATGTAGTGAACACTACACCATTATTACTGCCGACCCTGATGTCTGTTTGGTGACTATTTGGATGTTTCTGCCTTTGATTATGTTTGTGAATTTGTGTGATGATAGTCACAATTTAACTTTTTCTTAGCATGTTTGAAAATCTAGTCACTGGAATTCGACTTGGCGTTCTTTATGGGTCATGATAATTGCCTGTTGCCATGTAGTGAACACTACACCATTATTACTGCCGACCCTGATGTCTGTTTGGTGACTATTTGGATGTTTCTGCCTTTGATTATGTTTGTGAATTTGTGTGATGATAGTCACAATTTAACTTTTTCTTAGCATGTTTGAAAATCCAGTCACTGGAATTATGGGTAATATGACCCAAATCAATGCAATTCTCCATTAACTTTTTCTTAGCATGTTTGAAAATCCAGTCACTGGAATTATGGGTAATATGACCCAAATCAATGCAATTCTCCATCAAACTATTTCTTATGTCTTATGTCTTATGTCTTATGGGTAATATGACCCAAATCAATGCAGTTCTCTGTCAAACTATATAAAGCAACATATTCTACCACCGAGGCATCGTTGTATATAGCCATTACAGCTATAATGAGAAAAAGACAGTGAGGTATCCTTAGTGTCATATATAGCTGCAAACCATGCTAAAAACGACTATAAAAGAAGAAGAAGGAGTGAGGCATCCACTGCCCTCTTGGGAGCTCAACGCGACAACACTTCTACCACCGAGGCATTGTTGTATATAGCCATTACAGTACTAAAACAGCTATAATGAGAAAAAGACAGTGACGTATCCTTAGTGTCATATATAGTTGCAAACCATGCTAAAAACGACTATAAAAGAAGAAGGAGTGAGGCATCCACCAACCTCTTGGGAGTTCAACGTGACAACAGTGCTTGGAGCAGAAATCAGAGGAAGACTCACTTAGCTGCACAGAAGGCTGAATTTGCACTAGGTTTGCTGGAAACTGATCTCAAGGTTTAAGAGGGAGATATTGGAAGCATTTTTGGACTAGCATTTTGGTGAAATAATTTACTTCTGAGTTAATCTTTGTATTTTTGACCTTGTATTGGTATGTGGGTTTCTTGCATTGTATAGTTCCAAGAATAAATTGTTTATTTCCTTCAAAATGGGGCCTACGTTTCACATCTGGCCTGGCCTTTGCTCTTGGATGTAAAATCCAAAAAGTTCTTGGCAGGTTGGAAATTGCCAGGCATGTCTCTCCCTTAGATGTCTCTCTTGGCTGTCAGTCTGGAGACTGGTTACTGTTTTATGGTTACAACTTAGGCATTGTTACAGCTTAGGCATTTGTGGATTGAGTGCAACAAACCAGTTCTCCAGACAAAGAAGCAGAGGTCATGTGCATATATCCACCTCTGCCATTTATGGCCTTTCTTTGAAATGGACCACCCTTTTTCCCAAACTCACTGTGATTTTCACAATTCTTTTTTGCTTATGTTTTCTTCTGAAGGCATTTTGATTTTTTGTTCACATTTTAAAGGGTACTTTGAGGTTTTTTTAAAAAATCTACTTAGATGGAAAAAAATAAAGTCAGGCTACCTCTTGCACGGCAAAATCTGTTAGCTGCAGAAGGCGATTCCCTCCTCGTGTGGCCACCGGAACAGTGATTTTGATTGCAATCCCATCAACAGGAAAAAGGCCCAGATTCTGTAACTAAATGAGTGAGCAAAACAAACCAGATCACACTCCCATTCTGCAAGACTTATTTACCCCCAGCAAGTTATTTAACATCAAGAGCTTGACTCACCCTAAAGGTGCAGTTGAAGGGAGGGCCAATGCTGTTGTAGCTCTCTAAAGACTTATTTGATTTTATTTCATAGTAGCTCTGACTGGAACTCCTCAAAAATAGTAAGAGGAAGAAATTAGATTATAAGGAAACTGTTCACATATGTGCATTCTAGAAATTTACTGTAACAAATCGTAATCCAAAATACCTGGTGAAAAGGAGGTCAGTTTCATATTTCAGTGGAAAATTTAGCCGAACAGAATTGTCCTCTTTGGTGCTTTCTTGTTCCTCGCTGTCACTAGAACACAGTTAAACCAGAAGCCATTTAAAGGACTTGACAAGTTGTAGTACAGTGTACTGAATACATGATGCGGAGTAATATAATGACAGTGAGAACTAATGTTAAGAGAAGGTAACTACTGAACCTCTACAGGATGTTAGAAGTACTGTGACTGCTGGCTGCTTATAAGACCCTACTGAACTGGATTTTGAACTATTGGCAATTGTACATAACATGCAGAAAGAGAGCTCAGTTTTTCCTTTGTGGAATTAATGCCAACATTAAGTAGCAATTTCTCCCACTTGGTGACTTTGGCAGAAGACAGAACTTTTCACTTGCCACTTACCAACATTATATTGGCCTTATAAACTGGATTTCTGGCTAACACTGGATGATTTATGAACTGTGTGAAGACTTTGGAAGCCTTGGGATGAGAGGAGGATCCTTTCATATCAGAAAATTGCTGCTGGCGGTTCTGTTGCTGGATCAAGACTGCTCCTGGCAATCCAGTATAAATTCTCTGATATGAAGGGCTTCTCTCTCCCCTGTCCAGAGGCTCCTAAAGGCTTTCCAAGGGCCAAAGGGAACCCTAGTCTCAGAACTTGAAGTGTTCCCATTCACTGATGTCTTCTTCCACAATGGAATTCCCTCCGCCATCAGAGCTGCAGATGAAGTTTTTTTTCAGCTTCCAGTGACTGGTTTCAAGACAAAGGGTTTAATCAGATGGCAATGTAGCATCATGGATTGCACTAGAAAGTCACTTTTCTGGGTGAAATCTTCTTTAAAGCAACCTTTCTATGCACACATGATCCAGTCCTGATCACTCCAGCCCATTTCCAAAGAAATAATAGCTCTGCCACTGGAGCAGAAAGATTTAGATGGGCAGAGAGCAGGGTTGGGCTGGTTTGCACTTTCCTGTAGGTTGTATATTGTTGGGAAATGGCTGAAACTGAACTATACTCCACGTAATCAAAATGTGAGGTCTATCACCATCTGATCACACTGAAATTAAGCTAAATGCAAAATACAGAGCTGAAGAAAAGCTCTTGTAACAAGCAAATGCCTTTCTTCACCTGTTTCAAAAATGTGACTGGGTAATGCTTTGTTGTTTTACAGTTTGTAAAGATAGTTATGTTCTTTTATTGTCATAGCATGGCCATTGGCTTATAGTGGACTTTGAGATTCTGTCTTGTCTCCCATCCCATCTAACATATGTTTGAAACTACTGGGAGAAGCTGTACTGAGCTTTGCACATCATTGCCAATAATATGATGAAGAACTTCAATTCTATGTTTCCTTTCCATTTAAATCCAAAGCAGCTGTTGTGGTTCTAATTCAGTGAACAAACTTAAACTTCCTCTACATAAGGCAGAGACCTTCCTGATTAGGTGAAAGATAGCTCAGTGGACAAAATTTTAACCCTGAACCAAGTTTTAACAGTAGTCAAGAGTTTATTTGCATGCTAATACTAATGGGCCTAACATCTAATGACAGTGACTAGAGATGGGCATGAATTAAAAAATGAATCACCAAATTCACTCAAAAATCACTAATTTGTTGATTCGTATTTGTATGAATCAATGCCCCTAATGAATACAAATCAATGCATTTTTAGCAATTTTTGATTCATTGATCTATTTGGCTATAAAATGGCTCCCAAGGGACCTAGAGATGCCAATTCATCCAAGTTTGGTGAAGAATGGGTTTCCCCAAGCCAGTTGTTAAATAGCATTTTCCTGAGGGGGCACTTTGTGGGTATCTAACATGGATGTATGAAACCCAATTTTCACCAAACTTGGAAGGCTTGTAGAGGAGAGCCGGGGGAAACTTCCCTGTGATTTTGGTGTCTCTAGGTGCCTGGGGAAAACTTTTCTGGAGGGTCCTCCTTGAGTGTATAACTTGGACCTCCGAAACCACAACTTCACCCCTGACTTTCCTCTAAAGTCAGGGGAGGCTTCTCTGCAAGGTGCTGGGGGGCATTTTAAAGGGTTTTAAATTAAAAAAACAAATTGATGCATTGATTCATCAGAATAAATTTGTAATTTGTGATTTGTTGACCTTGTTGAATCATGAATCAAAATGAATCACCATTTTTCTGATTCGTGCCCACCTCTAAGTGACACATGCCTTATTTGTATCTTGTTTGGACTACTGTAATGCGCTATACACGTGATTGCCACTAAAAAAGTGTTTGGAAGCCTCAGCTCATCCAAAATGCCATGGTCAGAATGTTCATCAGGCCTGATTTGATCCCTCTGTTACAAAAGCTTTCCTGGCTACCAGTCCTGTTTGGGGAGGGGCACAATTCTGTAAAGCCTTCAAACCAGGCCATTAGAAATACCGAATTCTCCCCTATGAATCTACCTAGATTTGAAGATCTTCAGGAAACACCTTCACTTGGTACTACTCCCTTTGGTGGAGAATCCCAAGGGCCTTTTCTTGGTAGCTACTCTCAGGCTCAGAAACTCTTTGTCAAAAGAGAGTACATGGGCTTCCTCTCTATCACCCTGCATCGAATAGCATTTTTTTTCTAGATAGGTTTTTGGCATTGGATTTTGAACTGGGTTGAAGGAGTTTGCTTACTGACACTTTTTCAATTTTCATCTGTTTCTGTGATCTAACTGGGGTTGTTTTAATCTGAGTTTTACAGTTGTTGGCAACCTTTTCGCTCTTTTTTGAAGAGAAAGGTTGGATCATGAGTAAAATAAATAAATAATGTTTCATGTTGAGTGGAATCTTGAGCCTTTAGCATAACATGGATCATTTGCTTCAATAAATGTTTTGCAGCCATGTGCCCACCTTGATCTTGTATAGCTCATTGTGTTGCTGCATCTGGCTTTGGGACCAGGGGCTGAGACTTTGAATCCTCACTGAGAGAGGGGCCAGCTGAGATTGCTTGGAGCTTGTCTAGCTGATGGGATTATGTGCTGTAACATCTATGTGGCCTTGGGCTAGCTGCACAGTCCAGAGGACCTGGTAAACTACGTCTGAGTACTGGGAGGGTAACTACTTAATGGTACATCATAATTAGGGTAAGGAATAGCCTGGGGAAGCAGGCGCTGTCAGCAGCAGCATTCTAGCAGGCAGGAAAGGCATGATAAAAAGTAAACAGAGAACCAAGCTGTATTATGAAAAGAAGAAGAAAGCTGGCTGGGTTGGGGAAGATGAATGAGTGAAGAAGGAGAAAACAATATCATTGCCAACCTCTTGGCGGTCAAAAAGATCTCTACGTCTTGGAGGAAAATAGACTTGCTGAACTCGAAATCCAAGCGAAAAGTCACCTGCAGAAATTAAAAACAGGTTGAGCCATTAAAACAAATGCCATCAACATTTCCAATAGTTCTCTGGAGTGAACAATAGATTGTCAGGAACAAATTTTTCCTCTGCCTGGAACATTCCTATGCAGCCTCCCAAAACCCTGGCCTTGGGGTTGCACATTGTACTGAAACAGAACCCCCCTGTTTGACAATGGGCACAGCTTTGGAAAAATAAGAAAACACACATAGTTTTGTCAAAGGATACATTTATATTACAGATTTGGACATACCCAGGACCTTCTAAACCCAATTGTAAGTGGAACATGTGGTCATATGATTGTGGGAAAAGTGGGCCTGGAAAAAATAATTCACAAAACATTGAGAAGGAAGTTCTATCTTTTTTGAGAGGATGATACTAGAGATGGGCATGATCTGAACCACAAACCAGAAAAAAAACTACAAACTGGGCTGGTTCGTGGCTCGGTTCGGGGATCCTGGTTTGCTGAAATGGAATAAAGCATCAAACTTTTCCCCCCTCTGCACTTTGTTTTGCTTCAGCAAAATGGGATGTTTGCCCCTTCCCTCCCCTGTTCCTCTTCTCCTCCATGCCTTGTCTTGAAGCCACATTCACCACCATCCTGAGAGGCAACAGGCCTGGCTCCTTGCACAGAAGGGCATGCGCCCACCTGTCAGCTGAGCAGTGGGCAGATGCAAAAGCCACAGAGCTGACTTCTGAGCAAGAAGCCAGCCCTGCTGCCTCTCAGGATGGTGGTGGTCACCATGGCAGAAGAGACAGCAGGGGCTTCAAGACAAAGTAAGGAGGCGACGGGGGCAGGGAGTGGGGCAGGCAGGAGGCTCCCCCTGGCAGGTACCTGAAAAATAAACAAGTTCATTTTGTTTATTTTATTTATTTATTTAGATTTATATACTGCCCATCTAGAATGTGTCTACTCTGGGAGGTTGTGTGTGTGTATGTGTGGGGGGTTGTGATAGTTTGTGGTTCATGGCTAGCCATGAATCACAAACCATTATGAACCACTGGTTTTCCCCCCTTCATGCCCATTTCTAGATGATACCAAGGGTGAACTCACACACCCTTATAAGAAGCTACCTCAGATTTAGATGACTAATTTCTAAAGTATCAGTTTGGTTTCAATGGACAGATGACGACTCATTGTGAGAATAGGTCGGCTGCATATCCCATAATATGTTGTAACTGCTCATGGTAGAGGTACCATGCAGATGGAAGCTTCTGTTGACCTAGTTTGAAATAAGCTCTTAACCAAAGGGAGCTTGATATATGAAGAAGAAATTATTTTGTATTTTCGGTTGCAGCACAGTCTGTAGAAAATACATAACTATAATCTAAACCTACTCTCCTCACCGTGCTGATGGGGAGCGTAGATGCCAAAATTACATTCAAACCATATTTTTTTTGACTGGAGGAGTATTATTTTAAAATTTACTCAAGGCTTGTGCACTGCTGATTTTAATAATAAAATTCTCCTTGGATTCCCAAGGCTGCAATTTCCATTCCAGTTTCTCCTTGTTTTGGCAGACGAATAAGTATTCCATGCAGAGATATTACAGTAACATTTTATGGCCCAAAGGCACACAGGTCTGTTTCATCGCAAGGACTAAATCCTACTACATTGACTAAATGAAATCAATCACTGTTAATTCCTTGTCAAGAAAATGTTTCAATGGTAAGACTTGGTTTTGAATCTGAGAAGCCTCCAGTCTTTTTCATTTTTAACTTTATTTTTTAAAAGTCTGCTTATGGATCTTCCAGTATTCTCTCCTCTCATCTATTGCACAATGGAAAATAATTTGCTTTCCATGTATATCATATATGACAGCTTCGTGAAATGGATTTTTTTAGAGTCAAGTGAGTGAAATGAAAAGGAGATGAGACATCTCAGTGTCCACTGGAGAATATATTTAAGACAATTGTGAAAATAGAATTATGAAGGAACTCCCTTTTAAGTCTAGTCCAATATTATCCACATAGACTCTCTCCCACTGTCTCTGTGATCATGAGGTCATCATGTTGGCTATACCGTGCTACAGGATCGGAGGCACCATGCCCCTGAATGCTAGTTGCTGAGGAACAACAGCAAGACTGGGTATTCATTTTTATCTGCTGCTTTCCTTTTGCACCTGGGTGGTGGCCGCTGAGGAAAACCGGATGTTGAACTTAGTCTGCTCTTCCAAATATCCCCTTGTGTTCTTTGGCTGTCAAGCAGAGAGAACAGGTTCCCACCTGTGATGATGTTTTTTAACTCTAAGCAGGGACCTTATTCATGTCAAAGGTGTGCAGGTGGACCCTCACTGGAGTATGAACAGCCAAGTGGACAGTATTCCAGGTGTTGTCCAAAAGGAGGGAAAAAAGGTCAGTGTTGGCCCTAAGAGATCCACACATTTTAAAACATAGTTTTTAGACTGGTTACAGATATCGTAATTAGGTAGATGGGGCAAAGCTGAGTTCTGTGCCAGTGCAACTGTGCATTCAGATGACTACGAGCAAGACAGTTTTTTTGTGGTCTGGCATTGTAAAACACATGTGCATCAGGACTTGTGAGGAAAAGACCTATACATCTGCCCCCAAACCTTCCTGAGTTCACTTTGGAATATAATTTATTTAGATATATATACTATCTCAAGGCTTATGGAGGGTAATGCAAGGTGGGGGTGGGGTGGGGCATGGCTGCAAAGAATATTGTGAAACCTTTAAACCCAGAACACTTATTACAACATTGCTTTCAGGGACCACAGCCAACTTCATCAGATCCATGGTGTATACTTCATTATGTGGGCATATCCACTCTGAGGAGAGGAAAGGGAAGAAGAAAAGAGAACATTCTTCATGGGAAGAATACACACACAGCCACTTCACAAAAGTGATAACTTAGCCCTAAGCCTTACAATGCAGCTAAAATACAATCCTTCTGAAGGGTGTTCAGGCGAAGATTTGTGGGATTCTGTGGTGGATATTTATTAAAAATATATCTTGCTTTCTTCTCAAGATGACACAAAAGCAGTTTACAATGTTAAAAACAAAGAATATAAAAACTGGAAGGGGAGAGGAAAAGTAATAAACAAAGGGGAAAAAAGCAGCCCAACTCTTTGGCAACCAGTCACTGAGAAAAAGCTTGGAAAAAAAGTATTTTCCTGCTTATGAAAGGAATGCAAAGAGGGGGCCAGTCTGAGCTCCCTTGGAGTTAGATCGAAAGGAGAGATAGACTTGGGTATCATCTGAATGACTCCAAGCCTTGAAACTTTGGACAACCTCTGCCGCAGAGGAGGATGTCAAATAGCATGGGGGACAAAACAGAACCCCGAGGGATATCACAAGCCTATCTCCAGGGACTCAAACAGAAGTCCCTCAGCATGGCCTTCTGAGTTCTTCCCTCTAGGAAGGATTGGAGTCACTGTAGAACGATTCCTTAAAGTCCCATTACATAGAGATATCTCAGAAGGATACCATATAAAAAAGTACCAGGAAGTCAAACAGAACCAACAGAGACACATTGTCCCTGCCCAGTTCCTGAGGTAGATCATCCACCAAGGTGACAAAAGCATTCTTTATTCCATAACCTCCCCTGAATTCAGAATGAAATGGATCTAGATAATCATCCAGGAACTCTTGAACTTGCTTTGGACATCCTCTTATTTTTCAGCTGCAAAAAGTATCCATACTTTCGATAAAATCATTGCTCTGTCTTAAGGATAGGTTACCACATTTTGTGTATCGGCCACATCTGTATATCTCCTTGTGTAATCCAAGTATTTTAAAATGAATCTTTCTTGGCACAAACATTGCAACTGTCAGTCCACAGACTTGTGAAATTGCTTTGCTAGTAGGGATGATGGGTTAGATTTTGAGGAATAGTTAGTTTTCCAAACCCTTATGCCTGCATATAGTGGACCAGAGAATATCCTTGCCAGGGGTCAAATATATTTTTAATTTAGTAAGTGACACAGTGCTACATTAATAGATAAAGCTAGCAAAGTTACTTCCAATGTATCTAGAATAGCACTAGAAAAACATTTAAAATGTTGTGAGAAGAAGAAAAAAACAAAGGCAGTTTCTCCATTGTACCTTTCACTGCCACACCTTACTGCAAATGACACAGGTTTGTCACCCTGGAAAATGCAATAAAGCAAAACAGACAACTGTACAGACTGTTGGAGTGCTCCCCATTGCTCAAAAATAATAAAAAAAACAACCTTGCACAACTCCAAAGAGGACTGGAACAGTAAGCCAAATGGTCAAGATGGGTTGTTATTGACCACAACTCATGTAGCTCCAAGACAAAAAACCCTGATTTACGCCATACCAAAAGTGACCCCCCAAAACACCTGTCTGATCACAGTGTCACTTACTCCCCCTGACAGAAGGTTGCTGAAAGATAACTCCTGGAGGAATAAAGTGTGTGTGTGTGTGTGTGTGTGTGTGTGTGAATGTGCTCAGAAAGAGAGAGAGAATAGAGAAAAACTAATAATGGCTTGTGACCTGTGCTGATTGCAAATTCCTGTGCTCAGATTGTGCTCAGGAGCATCATGCATCCCTCAGTCAGTGCCTAAGCCAATGTCTTTTTGCTGGCTCTGATCAATGGCTTTTGGGTTTCTAGTACAAGGTGTGGTAAAACCTGTACTTCAAAATGGATTGCTGCTTGCTTTATTTCACACATTCTTTTGTGTGTCTCTGCTTTTACCTTTGCTTTGGCCCGGAAGAATGGATAGCTGATGTTGCAAATCCTCCAGTTTCGATGCTTCTCTTCAGACATACATTCTATGTTAATGTCCAGGTCATCCTGAAATGAGGAGGGAATAAGAATGTGCATTGCAAACTGCAGCTAGTTTTGCATGAGATAAAGACTATGGAAAATCCTGATGCCAGGCAGCTTAAGATGGAGCATTTAAATAGAGTGTTATTTCCTGACCTGTCACTCCTTCTGTTTAATTATTCCATAAAAGCAGGTTGCTTTGCCTGCTTGGATGCAGTCGTAGCCCATTCCTATAACACAGAAGGGCTGTATTGGAAAACCAGTCATACTAGTGTTGGCGAGAACACATGGAGGAGTATAGGAGCAATGTTAACATGTGGATTCAACCCTTTGAGAACGGTTCCCTGAGCACATTTCCCCTTTTGAAAAGGAATTATATCCACATAAGAAAACTTGTGTTTATTAGAAAAATACCTTTGGGATAAAAAAGACTATAGAAATCTGAGCCCTAGCTAACTAAGCTGGAGATATCAGGAGCCATAGTTGTCCCTTTCATCTCTAGAAAACAAAGGTAAGATGCCTCCTCCTTAGACGGACAAGAGAGAATGTCTTGCCTCTCCCCAGTGGAAGTAGGACAGCAGCACAGGAAATGAATGAAAGGGATAATTGCCTCTTCCTCTTAAATAATCTTTCATATCTAGTCCTACAGATTCATAATGCCATGTAGAGATCTTTCCAAGCACCCATCTTCACAATTCATGTTGTCATGCAGTAAATCCAATGTGAGTTAGTAAGAGTCTGCTTTCAAGAGTTATTCTGTCTACTTGTGTTCTAGCTCAACAGGAAGAATGCACTTTATCCCATTCAGGTAAGATGCACCTCCTAAGATCCTGTGATAACCTCCAAGATGCCCTACCCCATACGTATAGGAAATGTCTTTCTTAAGAAGGATAGCTACACATTTCTAATTCATTTATATAAGCAAACAGAATACTTCCTTAATCACTACCCCCATATTTGCTCTGGTTTCACCTACTAATGTTTTTCTTTGGTCAGATTCCATCAATCCATCAGAATTTTGCACTTTTCTTAGTTTGTGGCTAAATTTCCTGACTGTTTTCCACTGGCAAGCTTTTTAAACCAACAAAAGGCAGCTGTACTGTTCTGTTCTGTGGATCAGTGAGGCCTCAGCAGCAAGCTCAGCATATTTATGAATAAAGAGGGACAGAGAGTACAATTTGTCAAAAAATTATAGCAAAGTGCTTATGTGCACTGTCAACACTTAGCCATTTACTACAGTTCTGTCTACAATGATGAAAAGAGGAAGATATTTAAAATTTGCTGAAACCTGAACTCTGGTAGTCATCACAAATGAGACTTCATCTTTTAAATGGGTGCATTCAGCTACTGCTCTGGTGAACCAGACTATGCAGGTCCATTCAGGTTAGCAGCATCTTTTCTACAGAAACTAAGTAGGGGTGTGGGAACACAAGTGGCAGGGAGCAAGCTAGTGTGGACTGATTTGGAAAAGTTGACTAAAGTGATCTAATCAAACATGATAGTTCACACAGAACTTGCTCCTGCCAATATAATGAAGTAGCTCAATATGTGAGCCATCAGTTATGAGCAAACTAATCACTTCCTCTGCTCCTCAGCAGAGGAGCAGGGGAAGTGAAACTCCCTACAGCCAATTCCTGATCCTTTCCTTCTTCTTCTCCCCATTGTTTGCTCCATCTTCCTGAATTGTGTTCCATGACATAAAAACTGTTATTTATATATATATTTGTGTGTTTTATGCTCTGAGAAGTGAAACTTTGTTGACTGTATATGGATTATTGCTGATGTGTTGCATCAGTTATAGAAAAAACTAGAAATCTTTTCTTTGCCTTCTCTTAAAAGACTGGTTGAGAAGCTGCTTGCAGCCAAGGCCACTGCTAGGGATTTGACTGTGGGCAGTTTATCAGGGCTTTAAGATAAGGCAAATAAAAGATGTTATTAAAAAAATTAATATGATTTGTTGACTGTATATGGATTATTGCTGATGTGTTGCATCAGTTATAGAAAAAACTAGAAATCTTTTCTTTGCCTTCTCTTAAAAGACTGGTTGAGAAGCTGCTTGCAGCCAAGGCCACTGCTAGGGATTTGACTGTGGGCAGTTTATCAGGGCTTTAAGATAAGGCAAATAAAAGATGTTATTAAAAAAATTAATATGATGATGCATTGCATCAGCAATGGTCCATGTTCAGTGAAAAAAAAATCACTTCCTCTGCCCTTCTGCCAAGGAGCAAATGAAGTGATAAATTTGCCAGTATCCTGAAGTGGTCTGCTTATTAAGCCACTTCAAAATATTGATAAATTCAAATCAGAAGACTTGCTTTGGATTGGTTCCAGCAATCACATGCACTAGAACCTATCCAAACCACAGCAATCCTTCCTGCACCAAAAAAGTAGAAGCCCATCACAGTGACTCAGAAAGGATAGGATTGCTCTGGGGGGGACTTGTCTGCTTCAACAAAGGTCATTTGATCACTGTCTTTAGGAGGGGATCAAACAGCAGATTCAAAAGCCTGTGTAGTCGGCCTCTAGGCAATTTTGGGAAGCTTACAGGGATCAAAGGCAGTGGACATACCTATTTTTTTTTTGTCCCTAAACTTGGTATTTAAATATCAAAGGCAGTGGACATACCTATTTTTTTGTCCCTAAACTTGTTATTTAAACTACATAACACAGATAACACATTGTCAGATATAGTGCTAAAAGACATTTATCATAGCATTTGTCATAATCTTTGGAATAAAATTAGCAATTGTTATTTCTCTTCTTTGCTCACTATCTCTACCAGTATTAGAATTACAAACATTTGTGGGCTGGCACAAGTATAGAATGCTGCTTTAATTGAAGCTCAGGTATGCAAGACCCATGATGACAAAGGGGCTGACGTGGATGTTCCCATATGAAAATTATAAATCAGAGGCATTTTAAGAAATAAAAGCATTCCCAGACGCTGGCTGGCTGTCAGCAAAACCTTACATGTCCTCCAAGTGGTGAACAGATGCTTGGCAAACCCGCATTTTCTTCCATTTTCCATTCACTATATATCGGCAGTTAGCTGTGGCATCAGCTGGCCCAGTTCAAAAATATAGCTCACTCTCCAGTCTAAGCCTTTTATTTACAAAGACACAGTAACTAAGGAGACAAAAATCACTCCTGACTGAAACTTGGCTGTAAAAGTAGACGCAGATTGGGCAGGGGGAAAAGAGGAAAGAGATGCTTTTGAAAACCACAAGGAGAAAGGAGAAAGGAGTTAATAATTTGAGTATATTTGAGTCAATCTGGAGAAGTGGCAATTGGTAGGTAATCTTGTGCTCAAGCTGCTTTGTGGCTTTGCAAAACTTGTAGAGTTTGGAAATAGGAAGGAAAAAATGTTCTTTCAACAAAACTTCCTTAATTAGGTATGTAGAAAATGCAGAGAAAGCCAGGCACAACATATTTATGTGGGCAGCCATCTAACAAATATGTGGAGGAATAAATGCATGGAGCATGATGGGGTTCTTCACACACAAAGATGTACTTCTGATGTGCAAATTATGAAATAGGCAAGTTACATGTCTTATTGCCAATGGTGTAAAGAATTATATGGTATTTCTGGTCTCTTGATGGGCAGCGGTCCAATATAATACTTCATTGTTTAAAATCTTTTGGGGTAAGTGAGTAAGGTTGTGGAGCCAAAGTTTGGGTTTCACTGGCTCTGGGAATTCAAAAGATGAAGGGAATACTATCTACAGTGCCTTTTGCCTCCTAAAAACAAAAGTACTAGCAATGGATGGGGAAGAAATGTAAAGGATCAGATGATGCCGTGGGCTTGAAAATGCTATAATTAGCACAGCCACAAAGTGCTTCTTGATTCTGCTTGAAGTGTCTTGGTTTCCATACTGTGTTGTCACTTTCCTCCTGAGTTGTGAGAGAGCTCAATGGAAATACAGTTTGAATCAGTCCTGGTCCAATCTATATGACACTGAACTCCTTGGTGATCGCTTCTTTAAAAAAAAGGCTAGACTGGTCATCTTCCTGTTGTCCTTTTTCTGGCTGGCAACCCCTTTTTTATTCTGGTAAACTTTCATCAACTGACTGGCTGTTTTAAGAGAAAGAATTATAATAGACCTCTTACTGCTTTCATTTGTTATCATTTTTTTAATTGACGTGATTCAAACTATTTACTGTTTTAATGTTATACTTAGTTTATTGTATTTTAGTAATTATAATTACCCCATAGTTAACCTGCATCTGCTTTATCTTGTAAGGCATCTTGAACCCCAGCTCTGGGAGAAGACAGGATATAAATCAAATAAATACACTGTCCATAGTGCAATTCTTATTTTGTAATGTCCATTCATTTCCCACTTGCTGTGAACATTAAGCTGCCCCTCCTGGGTAAAATCAAGAGTCCTTTTGACTTTGGGCACCCAGAAGTGCCACATGGAGATTCTCTTTGTTATTCCCCAGTACTATAAGTACTTGCCTCTGAACAAGGCAGTTCTATCAATCTGTCCTCATGAATTACCCTTGCATGTCCTATAGGAAGTTGACAAAACTTAGAAGGAACCCAGCATTACATTTAATAAAAAATAATGTTCTCAGTTAAAGATTAGTTGGGCACATATGGAAATAATGCAGGTCATATAATTGCTATTGACCTCATGCTCATAGGATTCTCACAGCTGTGGTCAGGCAGATACTGTAGATTTTGGCTCTAAGCCAGCAGTACACTGAAGATGTTGTTTGTTTGTTTTCTACCCTGTTAATTCTGTTGGGAGATCAGTCCCCCATGCAGAACTACAATATAGAATCGCTGGTTACTTTACATATGGTTTAGATTTTGAAAGCAGAAAGGCATTTTATAGTGGAATGTATTTAGTGGAAATCCCAAAATTTGTTTTTTCTAGAGAATGGATGCACAATATGTGGTCCTGGAGATGTTGCTGGACTGGAGCGCCAACCATCCCTCCATGACACCAAAGGTTGCTTCAAACTAAAATGTCTTATTAACACAAAGGCAACTTAAATGAACTCGGCCAACAAGACCTGGCTCAACACTGAGTCAACTGGACACTCACTGGTTTTGTGAAAATCAGGAAAAGTCTTCATGGTCATGGAAACAACAAAATGCAGGAGCAGGCGATATCTTTAATCAACCATTAAGAATGTAAAACAAAAAACAAACAGCGAGCTTTCAATGATAAAACAAAAGACGAAGCCTTGAAGATGATTTATCATTGAATTTCTTTTCTTTTCTTTTCTTTTTGTTTTATATTCTTAATGGTTGATAAAAGGTACCACAAATTTTATGACTCAGTCCTGGTCAACTCCCTTAACCTTCTGGTGGGCGTCTCTACTGTGTAGAACTTTCTCCTCTATCAATTTCAGGACCCCACGCAGGCGGGTAGGACACAACAATAGTGCCGGGTGGAATCAGTTAGTTGCCCCTGCAAGTGGGTAGCAAGCTGTGTGGTTGTAGGGACTCCTGGCCTCTCCTCCTCATCTGTAATCCTGGTAGGTCTTAGCCATGGCATGGTTGAAGAATAGGCCAACCCAATTGGTTCCATCTCAGGTTTGGGGTAGTGAGAGTGGGCATGCAGATCGGGGAGAGGCTTCACCTCTCAAGGGGCTGGCTAGCTCTTGGGCTCGTCAGTGGTGACAGCATGCTTGGCTCTGGTTCTTGGCTTGGCGTTGGGCCTTCCCTTGGCACACCTGGGCTGCTTCCTCTGGTGGCACCAGCAAGTTGATCCTGTGCCAGGGTCCCCTTGATGAACCACTTTCCAGCCCTCCTTTGAGGGCACCTCAATTGGTCTCACCTCTTTGGCCTTGCATGTATCCCAGTCAGCAGCGTCTGCCTACCTGCGCCCGCTAGCCCCTACTTAAGAAGCTGGCCCCGCCAGAGCTACATCTGCCTCTTCAAGGGCATATCCTGTAGCCATCTCTTTCCCAATCTATTGGGGAGCTACATGTTGGAAAGGTCAATGCCAGGCTCGCTGAGGTGGACAGTCTACCCTGCCTGATGAAAGGGGACCATGCCAGCCCCAAACCTCATCATTGGTTACACTGGCTAGGGGAGATGGGAGGTACACCCCCAAAACACTGGGAATGCCACATGTTCCCCAACCTTCTTCTACAAAAACAGCTCCAGAAGAGGGGAAAATAAGTACCCTAACTGCTTCTGTTGTGCAAATTACCAGATGCACACAAGCACTGCAGCGAAGATGATTGACTCCATTTTTTCCCTGGCCCCCAAACTGCATCTTTCCCTCCAGATTCCCATAAATATATTTTCTTTACCAACATGTTTTTTGATGCTGGGGAGAGGGGGAAGGATTGAGCACATCCCCTCCATTCCTCTGGTCAAAATCACTTTCTCCAAAAGCCACTGTGCCTAAAAAAATATGACCTCTGGGCTTTAGTTCTGTGTATTGATATCCAATACACAGCCCACTCTCCAATGTTCAGGGACAAACTTAATGCAACATAAAATGCATCTTTGCATTTAGCATTCATGTTGTTTAAAATGTAAATAATCAGCAAGAATGAAGCAGATTGAAATTCTGGAAGATATTCCCTCTGGCAATCTTGGTTTAAATGCCCCTCTACTTGCTGTGATCCTGCCTGGTTATCAGCCTCCTACATTGGCTATACTTGGATTTTTAAAGTACACATTAAAAGCAAGGATGCACTTATCACCACATCTAGTTTTGTTCTAAGGTCTTCTGCTGTAAAACCTACACTTTGTGAGAATATAAAGAGGTTCCTCACCTTTTGGATCAAGCTTGCAAACTGTAGGTTTCTTGAGAAGGAAATATTGAGAAAAGTGTTATATGCATTTTCTCCTCTGTTCTCCAGTGTAACGTCTACTGCCACCCTTCTCCTGGAGCTCTCTATGACAAAAATGGAGGTATCAAAAGAGAGTGTGTAGTCGGAGCAATCTGAATGTGACTTTCTCAGGATACGTCTGCAGTATTCCCTAGGAAAAGAGTTTCAAAATCTATTTTATTGTACATTGCTTTGAGGACCTTACTGTACCTTAAAGTGTTTTAAAATACTTTAAATAAATAAATTAGCTGCCAATGTTATGTTAGAAAAGAAAAGTACCCCTAGAGACTGACTGAGTGCTCCAATCCAAGTTCTTACATAAAATCCCCTTATTTTATTATCTATAATAAACAGTAATTTCCTCTATATGGAATTGCTGTTTATTATAGATAAATGTACTGCATTACACCTGTTTAGGCAAAGCAAAAAGAAAATAAATCCATCAAGGCAGGGTGACTTCCCATAATATTGTCTAAGGACCAGGAAATCTACAAGGGTTCTCTGAAATCCTCTTATTTGTTTCCCTGATTTCTGGCTCAGGAGGGATTTTCATAGTGGTTTATTTACTCACATGGCAGTTGGAATATCAGTTTTAGCATCAAGTACCAAATTTGGAATGCAGTGTTCATCCTCATTACAGCCATTCCAGAAAGGTACCTGTGAGACAGAGAGTAGAGAAAAAATGTTTGGTTGTTTGTGGCTTTTTACATGGCAATATAAGAAGGAATTTTGGAAACTAGGTATCCTTAACATTTGGGGGCAATCCAAATTGCAATGTGAAACTCATACTATTTAAAATAGTATGAAGGGTTTGGGATCTAACAGTTAATGTGCTGAGCAGAAAAATGGTCCTAATAGCACATGTTGCTTGTTTTGTGATTGTTCAAACTGATCTGTGTTGTCAAGAGACAATTTAGTCAATTCACATCTTTCAATCCTTGGATTGAAAAATGAGAACTAGAAGACCTTTAAACAATAGGCCAGCTTTGCTTTCAGATGTTCAAATATAATCTTTCAGACTATTACCTATATAAACTATATGAGAACTAGAAGACCTTTAAACAATAGGCTTGCTTTGCTTTCAGATGTTCAAATACAATCTTTCAGACTATTACCTATATAAACTATATAAACCATCTATTGATATTCTTGTATGCTACACTATACAAACTCCATTTCTTGGCTTCCTTTCTGCTTCCCCATATTCCTATATCACCCTGACCTCCATGCCTCCCTCCACTCTTACTGCCTCTTCATGTCCAGTTCCTGGCCCCTGAGACCCAAAATCTTCAATTGAAAGAGCTTTTGTGGACCTAGACTATGGGAAAATGTTCTTAAAGTGCTTGGTGAAGAGTATTCAGCACTTTTTAAAGACTACACATCTATTTTCTTTCCAGTGTAACACAGCACAGCAACTCTTACGCACAGCAACTTTTAGTGAGGTTGGCCACCCGTCATCCATCACTGGACCACTGTCAGAACTCTCCAGCTCATAATGAACAGAAAAGGTCACTGGCTTCACATAGTCTGCTGTATCCTGGAGAAGGAGCAAGAAATAACCATTATTATGGTTTATTTCACAGTTATTTCTTTTCATATAAGACTACTCACAGCAACGCTAGATTGGAGAGAAAAAAATAGAGAAATCTCTTCTTCACTCTGTTGGACAAATCCGGCTTGAAAACAAAAAATACTGATTATCTATGGCAAGTAACAATTGTTCCAATCAAATAGATAGGGAAACAAGAGAGAAGACAGCTTTTTCCTTCCTGCAGATCACAAATGGCTAAACATTTAATAATACTATGTATGAATATACTGGTTGAAATCCTGTTGCTAGCATAGCAAGTTACACTAGAGAAAGCCCATTGAATTTAATTTCTGGTTTGGGTTTTCATTATCACGTTTATGCTGATGATACCCAAGTCTTATTGTGAGCTTAGTGATGAAGTCTGGACTTCCTTGACGGGATGCCTATTAGGCAACTCATTGTGGATGTATTCTCATTATCTCAAACTGAAAATGGGTAAGACCGAAGTCTTGGTCTTTTGTTTAGATCATCTTGTCCACCCATTAACTGTCCCTCCTCTTTCTCTCCAAGGTTTTTGGGTGACCCCAGTCTCATAGACCACAGATCTCAGTGTTCTAGTGGATGACTGGCTGTCTTTCCATTCATTTGTGAATGAGACAGCCAAGGTATGCAATTTCCCACATCATGATGATGATGATGATAATAATAAGAAGGAGGAGGAGGAGGAGGAGGAGGAGGAGGACGTACAGAATAGTATGGTATGAGTGCTTTTAAACCTACTTCATGAATCTCATATTTTTCATCATCATAGGGCATTGCATTGGCTGACTATCAGATCAAGGACATATTTTAAAACCTGTGTCCTGACATTTAAAGCTCCACTTTCTTCCTGTCCTAATTATTTATGTCATGGCATATTGCTTTTAAGAGTACTTGGTGCACAGATTCTGGACTTTTTTCAGTCTCCTGGACTAATTCCAGGGTTCAGGCATTTTCCCACTTGGCTCCAAAGTTGTGCAATTCTCTCCCTCACCACCTTGGTGTGGAATTCGATTTCAACAAATTTAGATGAGATTTGATAAACTGTCTGTTCAAGGTGGAGCTATAGGTAATATTGTAACAGATCAACGATTACTGTATGTTATTTGAACTTTTTAGCTGGTTTTTAGCAGTTGGCTAATTCATTTTGATAATTTTGAGGAGTTTTATGTTGTTGTACAGGTTCATGTGCAACATGAGTTCATGCCTCTGGGAGGCAGCGGAAGACAGGAGGGCCTGACATGCTCTGGTCCATGGGGTCACGAAGAGTCGGACACGACTTAATGACTACAACAGGTTCATATATCTGTATCTATTTATGCACACATAATATTAAGGTAGCAATTAAATGTGTTACAACTTAAGTTTCTATATTATTGATTTTATTGGAATGCACTCTTGTGTAGAGCACAATATAAATTATTATTCTTCAAAAATACCAGGCACAGTCAATCAAAATAATAAAAACATTAATCGGTATTATATAACAGATACAAGTCTTAACCAAAAACCTAAGTATCTGTTAAATATCAATACAGTATGTATGCTGTTCCTCTGAGTAGCAGCAGCAGCAGCAGCAGCAGCAGCAGTAGCAGTAGTAGTAGTAGTAGTAGTAGCAGCAGTAGTAGTCAAAAACAATAGGAACAGTTAATCAAAACTGTATACACATTGACTGACTTTATGTAACAGATACAAACTTTTACCAAAAACCTTGATAAAACAGTTAATCAAAACTGTATACACATTGACTGACTTTATGTAACAGATACAAACTTTAACCAAAAACCTTGATAATGTTCCCAAAGCCCCAATGACCACAGGGACCACTGAAGTGTGTTTCATCAACAAGTGAGATATTATTATTATTATTATTATTATTATTATTATTATTATTATTATTATTATTATTGGGGATTTTGTGAGTCATATTTTCTATAAATAGGACTACTCTACTCTCATAATTGCAACTTCAAATTAGTAGACACATTTGAATCAATGGGATATATGGAGAAATCGGCTCAGCAAATCCCCACTGACTAACTGAGCAATAGGATTTCAACTAGAGATGGAGGTATTCGTATTTGTATACAAATCCTGCACACTTGGCGATAATGAGGGTCCAACTCCATGGGGCTGGATGGTCCACTTACAACTCTGCCGCTACTGCGAGCGCTGGGATTCTTCCAATGGTTCTGGAGCTCGTGATCGGCTCGCCACTCCTGGGAGAGGCAGGATGACAAGCCTCTCTGCCAGGTCAAAGAGTGTCTCACAAATCGCAAGCTCCGGAGTGATAGGAAGGAGTCTGGAGCTTGCGGCAGTGGCAGAATTCTGAGTGGACCGTCCGGCCCCATGGGGCTGGACCCTTGTTATCGCCACCTGTGCAGGGGTATTCGTATACCCACATCTATAATTTCAATCAAAAGGTAGTACTGTAAACATTTTTGAAGGCTATTGTCTTATAAATAATTACACACTAGCTAAGTTAAACTATGCATGCAGGCAAGCTTCCCTGATTTTTCTTAGTTACATATTTCTTGTGATGTCTGTAGAAGGGATTTGCTGTTGAAGGGTTTTGCTGTTGCTTCTGAAGTGCAAAATTCAAAGCAAAGGCCTAAATCTAATTGCTACTCAAAACTTTTAATACATAACTACTTTATAGTAGTACCTTGAATGTGCATTTCTCTCAATGGGAAATCAGATTGACTTTATCTCTGAGGAAATATCACTGGGCAACAAATACTCTATTTTTTGTACGTATGTCCATTGTTGTTTACAACTAGTTTCGAACTTTGTTTTTGCTCTATTTTCAAGAAAGCCATGGGAGTGGGTGGCTGAGACTTCGGGCACATGCTCGCTCCCCATAAGGAGCCCTGCAAGGATTTCTGGTTGGGAGGCGGTTACATGGAGGCAAGGGTGAAAAAGGGAAGGAGAAAAGTTTTGGCCTTTCAAATTGATTCATAGAAATGGTATTTATCTGTTTTTAAACAATGTTTTTATTTTTATTGTTGTACGTCATTGTAGTGGCCCTCAAGTACTAGAAGAAACAAGAAAGTCTAAATAAATATTTTAAATAAACAAAATATAAACTACGGTAGGATCAAAGAACTGATTTTTAAATGTATATCAACATATATTTGAATACCATTGATTTATTAGTGACTAACAACTGGATGTAGGTCCAAGCTGCTTTTGCTGGCAATTTATAGTGCTCTATTTACACTTACCAAGACATGAAAATTGAGCCTCTCACATTGTTGTTGCCCTGCAAATAACACAGTTGTCTTATGGATGAATCTCTCTCCATTTTCATCCAGGTGGGCTCGTGGAATGTACCGTCGTGCATCAATGGTGATGTTGTAATTCAGTGCTGAAATAATTGATATTTAAAGTATAAAGTCTCCCTCCTACCCTCTCCCTCCCTCCCCCCTCTCTCTCACACACAGTCAGTTGTATGCATTTTGTATCATCAAATCAGAGTCAACACAGCAACCTTAATAGGGCTTCAATGTAAGTGAGATATTTAAGGAATGGTTTTACCAGTCAGTTTCCATGGTGGAGCAGGGATTTGAACCCTATATTCGCGAAGGCTTTCACGGCCAGAATCTAATGGTTGTTGTGGGTTTTTCGGGCTCTTTGGCCGTGTTCTGAAGGTTGTTCTTCCTAACGTTTCTCCAGTCTCTGTGGCCGGCATCTTCAGAGGACAGCAACCTGTGCTCTCCTGGTTGCTGTCCTCTGAAGATGCCGGCCACAGAGACTGGCAAAATGTTAGGAAGAACAACCTTCAGAACACGGCCAAAGAGCCCGAAAAACCCACAGCAAACATCCTATTTGACCCCTGTTTGCCAGAGTCCTAGTCTGTCACTCTATCTACTACACCACACTGGGAATCACACAATGAATTACAGGACCGTAAAAAGACAAGAACCTCGTGATTAAACCATATTTTTAATGCTCAACAAGCATGCTGTATTTCTCAGGTTGCATGATGCTTGAAATGCAAAAGCAAGGGTTGATCATTCCATATCTAGTTCCATTGTTTGCTGAACATATAGATTTCTGCTTGTTATATCACCTGTATATACTATATCTAGTGCTGTTACAAATTCCTTTTAAAGCATTTATATTCTTTTTAAATAGAAACACACTCAGAGCAGTTATGATTAATTTGCCATTGTTCCCAAATTGTAAATGAAAATAAATCATACTACTTGCACAGTGTAATGAATCCTAATTCTGAAAATGTGGGGATGCTAAGAGGTAGTGGCTTATTTAAAACCATCTAGTGTTTGGTGCAAGATTGGAATAGGGATTTTGCAGTTTAAGATCAGGGTTAAGGTCAATATATATTGCTCTTGATTAACTGTAACTCAGCATGTTTTCAAGGAATCTTAAATGCAAGATATATAGGTGAAGAAAATATCTTTCACCACTTGTGGGATCACCTCTGCAAAACCAAGACAAATATATTTCAGTTCCCAAAATATTAATTATACCACTTCTTACAGCTGTGCTGCTGAGATCTAACTTATTATATATGTTTTAAATCTTCAAAGTTGCCCTGAATCTCCAGGGTACAGTAGCATTAGAAGTTAAAATCCCAATCTCTAGCGATATGGTCAGTGGTAACAGCAAATCAGGATGAAGGCAAGGATTGCTACTTACCCACATTTGCCATCTGAAAATGAGATGAGAGGAAAATGGCAGTGAAGCAAACAAATGCAGACAGACAAGTAGCATCCTTTCCATTCCTAATGCAGTCCTTGTTGAAAATGTTGATTTGTAAAGGTTCAAACTGAATACTGGCATTGACCTGAACAACACTGCGGGACCTTAGGGAAAAGAAAGATAGCCTGCTGGTATCCTGAAATTCATCACTGGTACACAGTATGGACAAAGGCTGCACTTCAGCCAGAAACGCCATTGCAACATATAGAGTGATAGCACAGAATCATAGAATAATTGGAAGGGCACTATAAGGCCATCGAGTCCAACTAGACTCAGTGCAGGAATCCAAAGCAGATCTGACAGATGGTTGCCCAATCCACTCTTAAATGCCTCCAGTGTTGGAATGCTCACGGGATTCTGAGGTAATTGGTTCCATTGTCATAAGTGAAGAAGTTTTTCATCATATTCAACCTAAATCTGGCTTCCTGTAGCTTGAGCCCATTATTACATATCCTGCACTCTGGGACGATCAAGAATGGATCCTGCCCCTCCTCTGTATGACTGTCTTTGAAATATAGTAGGGCCACCTTATCCACAGAATCCGTATCCACGGATTCATTTATCTATGGTCTGAAAATAGTAAAAATATTTTTTAAAAACCCAGAAAAAATTGTTTTCACATGTATTACCACTAGAGGGAACCAGAAATTGTGCTATGAATACTTGCTAGTGAAATACATAGCATGGTCTCTGCTGCCCTCTAGCAGCCAGTTCTGGTAATTAATGTGATTTTTTTGTTTTTCCCCCCTGTTACCAATATATATACGCAGCATTTGCTATTATCCACAGTTTTCAGTATCAATAGGGGTCTTGGAACCAATCCTCAGTGGATATGGAAGTCCTACTGTATTTGAAAAGTGCTATCCTATCTCCCATCAGTCTTTTTTTCTTAAGGCTAAGCTTGCCCATCTCTTTCATTTTTTCCTCATAGAGCTTGGTTTCTAGTCCTTTGTTCATCCTTGTTACCCTCCTCTGAACTTGCTCCAGTTTGCTGGCATCCTTCTTGAAGCGTGGTGTCCAGAACTGGGCACAGCACTCTAGATGAGGCTTAACCAACGCTGAATGGAGGGGCACTAGCACCTCATGGGATTTGGAGGCTATATTCCTGTTAAAGCATCCTAAAAACAAATTCACTTTTTTTGCAGCCACATCACACTGTTGGTTAATATTCAGCATTTAATCTCCAACAATTCCAAGCTGCTTCTCACTTGTAGCATAACAGAGTCAAGTATCCCCCATCTTGGAAATGTGCATTTGGATTTTTTCCTTATGTGTAGAACTTCACACTTATCCCTGTTAAATTTCATTCTGCTGTTTTAAAATTTAGCAGAGATAAGTGCAAAGTTGTACACTCTAACAGCATTGTCAAAGGTGTTATGCAGAACAGAAATGGACATGGAACAAGTCACTTAAGACTCTGTACATATACAGTTGTGCCCCGCTTAACAATTGCCCCGCATTATGATGAATCCGCTTTATGACGATGTTTTTGCAATCACAATTGCGATCGCAAAACGATGGTCTAAATGGGGGAATTTCGCTTAGCGATGATCGGTTTCCTGCTTGGGAACTGATTTTTGCTTTACAACGATCAAAAACAGCTGATCCTCGGGTTTTCAAAGTGGCCACCGGGTGCTTAAAATGGCTCCCTGCTGTGCTTAGGGACGGATTCCTCGCTATATAGGCACCGAAAATGGCCGCCGTATGGAGGATCTTCGCTGCACGGTGAATTTTTAGCCCATTGGAATGCACTGAACGGTTTTCAATGCATTTCAATTGGTTTTTTAATTTAGCTTTACAACATTTTCGCTTAACAGTGATTTTCCTGGAACGGATTATCGCCGTTAAGCGAGGCACCACTGTATAAAACTTGACCATATTTAAACCATGGCTGGAAACCAAGGCATGAAACATGCTATGAACCGCAAAGAGTCTTCTAGCATGTTAAGAAGCAACACATAACGTATTAAGACAAAAACTTTCATGGGCTATAATTCACTTTATCAGAAGTAAGTTTTGAACTACTTCATGGTTTGAAATGGCTTTCATTAGAGAGCTATGCAAAATGACAGGAGGCTCTAATATCGGAACCTCTCTCTCTCTCTTTTAAAGCACGGTCGGATTCCCCACTCTCATGACTTTCATATCTGGATGGTTTTTCTGTCTGACAATGACTTCTCCTCAATTGTAAAGAAACTTAATTAACCCTAATTAATGAGGCTGGAGAAAAATGTTACTTGCTAATGTTACTTGCTAATGTTACTTGCTTCAAGGCATTGTATGTTATTTTATACAGATATTGTTTTGACTGGCAGCTGTGAGAACATCTCGACGAGAGAGAGAGAGAGAGAGAGAGAGAGAGAGAGAGAGAGAGAGGTGCTGACCTATGTTTTGGATAGACAAGGTAAATAGTGTTGTTTGAGTGAAAGGTGGGGCAGCAGCAACACCTGATGGGAAAGAAACCAGACAGCATCTTAAAAAAAAAACTGGAAGATTACTCATTAAATTTTTTTGTAAGATGACAGCAAGAGGAGGAAAGGAGAAGGCCCCGAGAGGTTCACTTGTGAAGGAACAAAATCTGAAATTATTCGGGCAAGAGACACTTAAGGATTGGTAAGTGTCTCTTGAATGTAAGAACATTCAAAATATGTTATCCACAGGATTACAGCAGATACAAGGAGGAATGGCTCAGCTATCTGAACAAATTAAAGGTTTAGGGTCACAAACACCAAATTATAGAAAATAAAAGAGAAATATCTAAAATACAAGAAACATCCATAAAAAGAAAGAATGAAGAAAAATGGAGATTAAGAATGCAGAGCTGGTAGTGAAAATGTCTACAGAAAACCCACCCACACAGGCCGGTATCTACACAAAAACTCCAACCACCACCCATGACAAAAGAGAGGCATAATCAAAACACTGGTAGATCGTGCAAATCAGAACTGTGAAGCTCAGTTTCTCAGCACCAAACTGAAACATCTGAATTGGGCCCTACAGGCAAATGACTATTCCAAGAATGAAATCAGAAGAGCCGTCAAACCAAGAAAACACGAAACTGAAAAGGAAAAACAGCTACCCACAAATAAATTATTTCTGCCATCAAAGGGGTCACGGACTACATGGGGAAGCTTTTGAAAAAACACAACCTACAAACAGTATTCAAGCCCACCACAAAAATACAGCAGATGTTACGGTCAGCAAAGGACAAAAGAGACCCCCTCACCACTGCAGGAGTATATCGGATAGCTTGCAGTTGTGGCCAGATGTATATTGGAACCACAAAATGCAGCATCCACACCAGAATCAAAGAACATGAGAGACACTGCAGACTAAAGCAACTGGAAAAATCGGCAGTAGCTGAACATGCCCTGAAACAAGCTGGACATGAAATTCTATTTCAAAACACAGAGGTACTGGACAACACCAGCAATTATTATGTTAGACTGCACAGGGAAGCCACTGAAATCCACAAACACCAGCACAGCTTCAACAAAAAAGAAGAAAGTTTAAAACTCAACAAAGCCTGGTTCCCCGCACTGAAAAATACAGCCTGCAAAAGGTCAACGAACTCTACCCAGCCACAAGGACCGGCAATCACTGCACACAAAAGACCAGCTAACGACACCCATCAATCACAGTGACACATCATCTCTCCCCCTTACCAAAACAATACACTTACAACAGAAAATACGCTGATCACCATAATCACCCAATTTCTTGAAAAGGACAAAAGCTGATTACACAGCTATAAACACTCAACTATTCCAAAAAACTGCACCAGAGCACAGACAGAGTTCTGACTCCTGTCCTCCGAAGATGCCGGCCACAGAGACTGGTGAAACGTTAGGAAGAACGACCTTCAGAACACGGCCAGACAGCCCAAAAAACCTACAACTATTGGATCCCAGCCGTGAAAACCTTCGAGAATACAGTCAAAGAATACCTTATTACTTTGAAAGAGTTCAAATTTCCAGGGCTGGATGAACTGCATCCAAGAGTATTGAAGGAACGAGCTGGAGAACTTTCAGAAACACACTGTGCATTATTTTCTTGAAATCTTGAGAAGTGGTTGAGGTGGCAGATGATTGGAGGAGGGCTAATGTTGTCCTTATCTTTAAAAAAGACAAAAGGAGGAACCCAGGAACTACAGACCAGTCAGCCTGATATCAATCCCAAGAGAAATTCTGGAACAGATTACTGTATTTTTCCGTGTATAAGACAATACTTTTGTCTAAAATCTTTAGACTAAAAATTCTGCGTCGTCTTATACCTGTTTAAGTAAGCCAAGGAGAGAACTGCATGATTGCAAAACTGCCCATACCTTGCCTCTACAAACAGGCTTCCTTCAATCATGAGGCTTAGCTGCCTCCAATAATGAACCTTATGTAGCTGACATCAGTTGATGCTGAACAAACCAATTGGAACACACCTCCTTGGATGTGGAGCATGTTGGAAGTGCTCAGATGCAACAGGGACTGGCAATGTCTGAGCCCAGAGGCTGCATAAAGTGGTATGCTCAAAGCGATTTGTGATGCATAACATGAGACTACTGGTATGTAAATGTTACCTGATTACTAAATAAAAATGTGTTCTGTTTTGTTTAAAATATTGATTTCTTAATTTTGGGTTAGGAAAATGGGGAGTATCTTAATACGGAAAAATACGGTGTAAAGGGGTCACTATGCAAACATCTTGAAAACAATTCAGTTATAACTAGAAGCCAACAAGGATATGTCAAGAACAAATCCTGTCACACCAATCTGATCTCATTTTTGGATCAGGTAACCTCCCTGATAGACAGAGAGAATGTTGCAGACATAGTATATCTTGACTTCAGCAAAGCTTTTGACAAAGTGCCCTGTGATATTCTGATTATCAACTGTAGGCTGGCCAGAACAACTGTCAGGCGGATAGACAGTTCCCTACAGAATTGTACTTAGATGGTGATGATTAATAGCTCCTTCTCCAGCTGAGAGGATGTAACAAGTGGGGTACCCCAATATTTTTGTTAATGACCAGGATCATGGGGTGCAGGGAACGCTAATCAAATTTGCAGATGACACAAAATTGGGTGAAATAGCTAATACACTGGAAGACAGAAAAAAATTGAAATTATCTAGATAGGTTTGAGCACTGGGCTGAAAACAACAGAATGAAACTCAACAGGGATAAATGGAAAGTACTGCACCTCAGAAAAAGAAGCACACCATCACAAGGTGGGGGAGACCTGGCAATACTATGAGAAGGATCTTGGAGTCATTGTAGATCACAAGTTGGATGTAAGCCAACAGCATGATCTGGCTATGAGAAAGGCAAATGTTATTTTAGCCTTCATTAACAGAAGTATATGCTCCAGATCCCATGAGGTACTAGTTCCCCTGTATTTGGCACTGGTTAGGCCTCAACTTGAGTACTGTGTCCAGTTCTGGACACCGAACTTCAAGAAGGATTCTGACAAATTGGAACAAATTTAGAGAAGGGCAACAAGGATGATCAGGGGGCTAGAAACCAATCCTTACGAGGAAAGACGGATAGAATTGGGCATGTTTAGCCTTGAAAAAAGAAGATCAAGGGGAAATATGAGAGTACTTTTCAAATACTTGAAAGGCTGTCATTCAGAGGATGGGCAAGATCTGTTCTCAATCATTCCTGAGTGCAGGACACGCAACAATGGGCTCAAGTTACAGAAAGCCAGATTTTGGTTGAAAATCAGGAAAAACCTCCTGTTAGAGCAATATGGCAATGAACCAATTATCTTGAGAGGTAGTGAGCGCTCCACCACTGGAGGCATTCGAGAGAAATTTAGACAACCACTTGGCAGATACCCTTTGATTTGAATTCCTGCATTGAACAGGGGGGTTGGACTCAATGGCCTTATAGCTCCCTTCCAAATTCATTATTCTATTATTCCATGATGAAAGTCAATAACACAATTGCCATCAGCATCCCCAATAAACTCTTAAGAAATTGTTTCTCCAGCTATAATATTAAGAGCTCCTTATATTGTCACATGCTGCGACATGTAGACATCATCTATAGGTACTGGGTATATGCTTATTTCTTTCCTATGTTAGATTCTTTCCTGGAAAAACATATGAATATTCTTTACTAAACTTATATTAAAGGATAGGAGATGAAAGACCTGCTAATATACTCCATACAGTCTATCTAAGCAGAAGACATAGCTCTTTATTGCTGTAAACAACTTTGCAGTGTTGTATCTCTAAACTATATGTTTTATAAGACTGGTGGGGTACATAGGTTCTGCAAACAATTGGCATTTTGAAAACTAGCCTGACCAATCACAAATTCAGTGGAACCAACCATAATAGTATGGCACTTCCAAGTGAGCCAACTGCAAGATCTACGAGGCCGTCTTCGTTCAGGTCCAAATGGCCATGGATGCTGCACCCAAAATACATCAAGCCTGGAGAAAGGTTAGCTGCTGCTATTCTCTGAAAAATTACAGGGGAAAAAGCTGTTCAACATTCTGTCACAAACTGATTCAAGAAGTGACAGTTTGTTTTCACATGGGTCTCTACTCAAAATACATCTACAAAATAGCTCTGTGTTTGCGTGCATTCAAATAAAGCAGTGCTTCCCAACGTTGTGTTCCCAGATGTTTTTGAACTGCAACTCCCAGAAATCCTGGCAAACACAACTGGTGATGAAGGCTTCTGAGAGTTTCAGTCCAAGAACTCCCTGGGATCCAAGATTGAGAACCACTGAAGTAAAGTAGATAAAAACAAAGCAAACATTAAGAAACGACTTCAGCTGAAATTACTTTACTTTCTCTGCTTGTTGTTAAAAACGTTCAGCATGCCCCAGCACATCGCAGTGTTAGTATACCAATACATTTACATTCATTCAAAATGTGTATTCATGAAGTTTCCTTGTTCCACAGGAAAGCATTGGCTTATCTAGCCCACTGCTCTTGTAATGTGTTCTCCATGGTCACAGACTGCTTTTTCCTAGCCCTTGAGCCCATTCGTTTCTTGGCTCATTTGTTTGGAGATCTTAGCCATTGAATTTGGGACTTTGAAAGGTCAGAGTATGTGCCTGAAGTAGGGAATTTCTCTATCCCCTCCTACCAAGGATATATTTTGCATGTATTGATGAACATATTGTTGGGTTGGGCAAGAGTGTGTTGGGTTAGAGTGGGCGAATGGGCCACCTGCAGCCAGGTACCTCCCTTTTTTTTTGATAAACTGCATGTAATGCATTGCCATGGCAAATTAAATAGCTGCTTGTTTCCAGTGTTACATACGCCCTGCTTCTCTCCGTGGTGAGCATTTCCAAGGACTTAGCACTTCCCAGATATTAATTTTCAATAAGTGGTCACACAAAGCTTATTGATCCTTGTTAGTTTTACTGGGCAGGTGGAGGAGTCAATCCCGTACAATCTAAACTGCATGTAATGCATTGCCATGGCAAATTAAATAGCTGCTTGTTTCCAGTGTTACATACGCCCTGCTTCTCTCCGTGGTGAGCATTTCCAAGGGCTTAGCACTTCCCAGATATTAATTTTCAATAAGTGGTCACACAAAGCTTATTGATCCTTGTTAGTTTTACTGGACAGGTGGAGGAGTCAATCCCGTACAATCGTCTGCTTGGTGTGAATAAAACTACACCAGACAGATGGCCAAATTTATTAGTTTATTAATTCAGCGGTGTAGAACTCCTTTTTAAACAAACCCACCTATCGAATCTAATTGGCTATAATTAATTATTCCTTTCTGTATAAATTACAGATTATGGACAATGGCTAGGTGTTACCTTGGAATTAACCATGTACTGCTAAATTTTGCTTGCATTGAGGCATTTTGATCTGTTTCATACAGGGTGTATATCCCCCATCTATCTGAGGACTGCTGTTTGCTATATGTTTTTATGCCCATAAAGGTGATGATGATATTGTGTTTTACATATACAGCTTCAGTATATAGATATATATATTCAAGCTCTGTATATGCACACATGCACAGCTTGAATGAGACATCTGTGTTTGTTGATAGTATCCTGGAGATGTAACCTGACTAACAACCTTATTGTTCCCTTCAGTCTAAAGATAAACTCTACCTGCTTATATTTCCGTATGAGGTTTTCTTTGTAGCCATGGAAGATATAGATTGCTCCCTGATGCTCATCTTCCAGGGGAGCACCCACAACAACATCATTGTAAGAGTCCTGGTTCAAGTCAGGGACGGATGCAATGCAGGAACCAAACCTGGAGTTCTGGTAGCTTGGCAGAACCTTTAGAGCCCCATTGGAGACAAACTGGTTCTTCAGGAAAGGAAAAGAATGAAGAAGAAAAAATATGTATCCGCAGACAAAGGAAAACTTCAACACTCTGAACAGCTAGGCTGTTCTCCTAATGAGAACATTTCATTCGCCTAATGAAAATGAAGTTTGCTGGATCTCAAATTAAGTTTTTCCTTCAGAAAAACAAACAGACACAGAAACAAAAAAGAAAGAACTCAAGTGACCCTGTTTAGATCACAGCAACCCACACCAAAAGGATTCGTGCAGTTACACCCTCAGATAAAACCAATAAAGCTACAAGTTTCATTAAAAGCAGATTTTATGTGAGTTTTAAAAGATGTGTTTCTGGACCCTTCCTAAAAGCAGTGAGAGTGGAAACTAATCTGGGCAGGTTCATAATGAGATAGGCAGTCTTTCAGATAGCTTGAGGCTTGGTTATCTAGGGCTTTAAACGGTTAAATGATTAAAACAAACACATTGGGATTTTTAAATGGATAGTTACATACATCTTACTGCTTTGAATGTGTTTTTGGTGCTGCTTTTGTTTATCATTTTTAGTGTAATATATATTTGATATTCTTAGTAAAATATTTTAAATAAGTAAATAAATAATAAATAAATACATTGTAGAGGTGGAAAAAATACAAAGAACTTATTTTAAGTGAAGACCTGTTAACAGGTCCATTTTTTTAAAAAAAGTACCTCTTTTAGAATGTAGACATACACCTTTCCTTCCTCTCTTCCTTCACTGAAATACATTGGTGCTCCAACTAGCAAAACATCAGTAACCCCATCCCCATTAACATCTATGGAACTTATTTCACTTCCATAATAGGCACCAATCTGGAAGACAGGAAAAAATGTGTGGAATGAGAGCTAGAGTGTTGTGGTCTTCTATATTTTCCTATATTTCTAAGGAAGTAAAGACATCTGGATTGTGTTGGAATGAGAGGTATTTCAAAATGGAAACAATCAATCATCTCCTTGTCTAGACGTCTCTCCTGGAGGAAAAGAAACACAGATTAAAATGCTGATCCCAAGAGAATAAGAATCACAATTATTCCCTTTCTATGATACTGGTTTCTGTTTGGCACAAATTCTTATAATAAGAAAGATTGTTTATGATGGGATTCAAGCTTAATTGCTTCAAATAAGACAGTCGACATGTCTATAGCTTCTTGTCAAACTTCCAGGATGGAATTCCTTTACAGACAAACTTATATCTATACTGGAAGATCTGATATTGTTTTCCAATTCCATTTGGGTCTCTCAGGTTTCTCAATATTCGAACATTTAAGACTATTCTCTGAAGCCTGAAACAATAGGCTTGCAACATGCACAATTCAGGACCTCCACGTACAATGTGCAATGTACCTGTGGACCCTTTATCTCATTCATCAGATTCATGCACTGCAAAAGCAATTAGGGTGACATCATTTACCTGTTCTCCCTTTAGGGACTGATGAATGGTGAGATTCCGGTTCATGTGCATTGTGAAAATGATAACTTTCCCTGTGTGATTGAAGCGAGGTGCTCCTGCTACATAAATCCTATCAAGTCTTCTTGAAACCACTGAGGTCACAGTGTAACCTATAGCACATACACATAACAATATGTCTTATTATGCACAGGAATTTCCTATTTCTGACACAGTGAGAAAATACTAATACAAACCATTTTAAAGGTGGCCTCTATAACACACATTTTACAATCAAAATAGAGAAAGACATCTACTTTCTAGCCTTTTGCCAAACCACAAAGAACATTTGTTCTTAGGCTTGTTTTGATTTTAGTCTCAGTTACCCATTCAATCTCTTGGAAGTACTGCTTCGAGCGATAATAGGTTCCATTTAAAAAAAAATCATCTACTGTTTGTAATATGAATGAAGTATTATTTCATTGCATCTTTTTTGCTGTTAGACACCAGTGTTGCCAGTATAACAAGTATGTACATACATTCTTACAACAAATGGATAACAAATTGTCCTGCCATGCATAGAGGTTCAGTTTTTCACTGCAGGCGTTTGAGATATATTTTGCAGATGCTATATTCCAGAGGCTTCTGCATTGTACACAATAGACTTTTGGGACTGAAGCAGTTGTGTAGCATGAGATAAAGGGAGGTTTTTGTATGCAGAAACATGACCCTTTTGCCCAGCAGTTTCTGGCTACTTTCCTCACCTAGATATGCTCCATGATTCTTCAGTTCCTCTGGGAACTCTTCAAGATAGGATTCTCGATGGGGAACGACTTTGCCACTGTTAGTCTCTTTGAGAACTGCTCCATTCCAGTCATAGGCGCCCACAGCACCAAGCAGAATCCCATCCTACTCATGGGGGGAAAGTTGATAATTGGACACAGACCCAACTGGCCCTTGGTTGTCAAAGATAAATATAACATTTCTTCATAATAACTGTATGGTATTTGAACTCTGTAAACTTCATAAAACTACAGAATACACATAAAATGTACACTTTCCAATTCACATTCTAACTGGTTCCTTTGGTTTCTCATAGATCAAAATACAGATTTTTCCCAGCTTGTAGATTGCATCTTATAATTCCTATTCCACCATGAGTTCTCTGGCTTGGGTCATAATTTGAACCAGAAAAAAACTGCTCACTTTGGTAACATAGATGAAAATCTGGAGGGGCACCTGTCACTCCTGTAGCCTGTTATATCAGTGTCTAGAAAACTACGTGTCCCTGGATGTTAGTAGGAAAGAGGAGGGGAATTTGCACTGGCAAAAACAAAAACATGATGTACAGAGTTAGCTTTATTGTCCATGTCAACGTTAAGGCAAGAGGGAAGAAGAGACACAAGACTGTGTAGCATTACAAGACTTATCAGAAGACTTCTTGCCTTCAGCATAAGAGTAAGACAAGTCCCTTTTTGTCTATCTCATTTATGCCTCATGCAACTGAGTTTTAATTGAAGAAGCAAATGAGGAGGACATACAGGAACCCCACACAGCTAGGCCCTCTGCTAAAGGGAAGGAGGAAGAAAAGGAAGTTCAGGAACCTTAACCTGTGTCAAGGGGAGTCAGGTTGGAGGAAGTATCAATATATCCAGGTAGTGCTGGCAGCTCTCCCTCAAAATGTCTAAAGATCAAAGAGAGTGTTCTGTCCTTTGAGTATGTCTCAGCCCAAGACAATGTTGGCAGGCTAACCACGTGGGAGAAGCAAAAACAGAATCAAGCTCAGACTTGTCTTGGAAAAGGTACTGATTGCAGATGACAAAGGGGAAGCACTATAAATCTTACTCTCGAGGCCTGGCTGGTTTCTTGATTACAAGAAACACATCAGTCCCCTTGTGCAGATCATTCACCTATGCTCTCTTCCTGTTGTCTCTCTGTATCTTGGATGAAAAGATTTCTTGGCTACAACCTCACTACTGACTTTCCCCTGGACTTTCCTAAACTACACTTTCAGGATTCGCACACTTATCCACAGCAGTCTAGCTTTCTAAAATTTGTGCAAAATGTCTCTGCACAAAGCTACAGATTTTTTTCCCTTTGTAAAACAGTGAACACAGATAGTCTTATCTTACTAATCCAAAAATACAGCCACCTCTCCAAAGCTTCTAGTTTTTAAACAACTGTGGAGCAAAGTAGCATTTTTATCATAGTCGAGCTACATGATTTATGCAGTTTACACAATTTGCTTAGTAATAATTTGTGCAAATATGAAAAAGCCTTTGAGAGAGGTGGGTGTGTTCACAATAGACACCTCAGTGGGAAAGCAGATTTATCTCAATATCAAGTGGAATGCCTTCTCCCTTCTAGATCTATGCGAATCACTTGTTCTAGCCAGGATGGGTGACTGAGGGGCCAAAAACTGAGGGAGGCCCAGAGAGAAAGAACAAGAACCTGGGCCTTCTCGGCAGTGGCCCCTCGCCTCTGGAATAGTCTCTCCTCAGAGATCTGTCTGGCTCCCTCATTGGGTGCTTTTAAGAGCAAACTTAAGACCTGGCTCTTTAGGCAGGACTTCCTTCCCATCATCATCTAATCTATTTCTTGCCGTCTTCAATTATATTAATATTGTTGTTTTATTTTATATTGTTATTATTTTATGGATTGTTGTTAGCCACCCAGAGTAGACTTCGGTCTAGATGGGCAGGGTATAAATTAAATTAATAAATGCATGCTATCTAATCACCTCACAGATGAATACAAAATATTTGCAGTTTCAGAAATATGCATTTATATTCCTAGAGACCAGCATTGGTAGAAGGGACTATACTACTGCAGGTGAGGGAATCACTTTTAACATTTTCTTTTTAATGTTTTCCTAAATGAAGCAAGCACAGCAGTATTAAAGGTTCTAGCGGTTGTTTTTCCAAGGAATTTCTGAAAACACAGCATTTCACAACTTTAGCATGTTGTGATAAATCTGCTTTCCCACTTCAGGTGTCTATTGTGAACACACCCATCCTTTCAGATCAGTTCTTGGCACTCCTCTTTTGTTCCACTTTGCCTTCAGAGCTAGCATGGGTTGTTAGCACCCGGGGCAAGGCCAGTATTGCACCCCCAAATCTGTAGACTGTTAACACTCCCTGAATCCCTTCTACCTTCCTGCATCACTCTTGGTTTCAGAGGTTTCTTCTGGCCCATCTCTGAACACTTCCAAAGCATCTATTATTTCCTTGGTGTGCTCAGCAAGTACACGTACAAGCTTCTGTGCTTAGATCTTCTGAGTGACCATGTAAGGGTAAGGTTTGCCTGGCTAGACAGAGCACACAATCAAGTATTCTGTCTAAGACTGCCTTCAATTTCTCAAACGACTTTTGTTGTGCAAGCTGGGCAGCCACATCAATAGTCTCTGGTTTCTGTAGCCACATTTCAAATTCTTCCACATTGCAAATGCACTGAACTATGCTCATGTTCTAGTAATCTGGGGATTAAGCTTTCTCCATGCATTAAATCCAAAAGAACTTTTCCCTTTGGCCTTCAGAAAAAGCATGCAAGGAAAGCAATATGTAGCACAGTTTATAGGAGAAAGCATCAACCATGTCCTTAATATAGGCTCACCACTGTCCAAATTAATGTGGAATGGATCCTTGGGGATAAAATCCTACATTTAATCAAGGGCACACTACCTGTAAGAATTATGCAAAAGGAACACAGGAGAGGGCATTCTCCGTGGCTGCTCCCAGACTCTGGAAATCCCTCCCACAGGAGGCCAGGCTGGCCCCGTCTTTGCTGTCTTTCCCTCTCTTGCCCCGCCTTAGCCCCAAGCAACAGGTTTATTTGGTCCACTGCTGCCATGTAGTGATTCTTGCAGGGAGACCTCCACCATCACACACGTTGAAATGGTTGCTCTCCCTTGTGGGGGAAGGAAAGTCTCCTACAGCCAGCTCACCCTCCATCTCGCATTTTGGGTGGGTCTCCAACTGGGGAGTTTTCCATCTCACCACCTGTTCCCCTGCATCCATCTTGGGCTGACTGTCTGCCCCACCGCTCATGATGCCCTAAGTCTCTAAGCACTCGGCAAAACAAGAAAACCAAAACAGCAACACATGTAGCTCACAGTGCTTGTGCTTTGCTCACACGTCTTAAAAGAACTGTGTGTGTTTGTGTGGTGTTCACACTCTGAACAAGCTTCTCTCCCTTACAGTGGCTTAACCCACCACTCTTGGACTGAGAAAACTCAAAAAGGCGTTTCCCTTCCTGTGGATGAGCACCCTGAGCCCCTCCGCAGAAAACACAGATTCCCTTACAGCAGAGGAACACCACAGGTTGCTCTCCTATGGTACAAAAAAAAATAAAGCCATCTCTCAGGTCTTGTCCAACAGAGAAGTCTCCTGAGACTAGGATGTGAAGGGGTCCTGCTAAAAGCAGGAATTTCCCAATGCAATAAAACACCACTCGGGATTGTGCCCTGAAGTGCACAGTCGTGAGGCTTGCAGAGGGGGAGGGGGAGGGCTCCGAGGAGCACATTCCCAATGCAACAGAACAAAAATGTAAACATGAAACAAAAGCTTAACAAAACATCAAAAGTTCAGAAGTCAAAAATCCAAAAGTCTAAATGTACACCGAGCTACCTTTGGTTTCGTTCCAGCACCGCTGCTTACCATGTGAAGATATTTGCCTGGGACTCTGAGCCTTTCTCTCAGCGCGGGAGAAGACAGCACCAGCTGGCTCTTTCTGTCCCAGGGCAATATCTTAAATGTTCTTTAATTCCCAGTATTGCCACTGTCCGTCTTCTCTTGGAGAAAGTGATCCATTTACTTAATCAGAGGCTAAGTTATTTGGGTGTAAAACCAGCACTTTCCACATGCTCAAGAAACCAATTTACTCACATAACGTTATGTGATTACATTTTAGGATTTTAAAGGCAAGGCATAGCATCTAGCAACAGGCAAAGAGACTAAGAAATGCAGCTATTTCCACCTAACTAAAATTCTGTCAGTCATGATGACAAAACACGACCGCTCTAACTCACTCTAAAATTGCAGTTACATGCCCTAAGGACCTATCTCTTCCTCTTCTCCCTGCTCTCTCTCTCTCTCTCTCTCTCTAAGTACTGTATTATTCTTGTGATCTGTAGAAGTGGTTATAATATCTCCATGTCACTTTTATGACAATCTGGCTCTGGTCTGACCCCCTTTGTGCAGAGATGCCCCCAAAAGGCACTATTTTCACAGATACTGACTTCCCTTCAGGCAAGATTTTCCTTAGTGAGTGGCTGGTATCTATTTTTGTTTTGAATTTTTTTTTGGCTAATATTTCAAAAATAAAATATTTATTTAATTATTTTAAATATTTGTACAGCATACTGCTTTTGGCCTTTAAATGTTGTTCTTTTTTTAAATGATGAACTAACCTTGGGTTCTTTTTTAACAGAAAGGTGGGATAAAATATTTTAAATAAATTAAAACCAAAAATCTCAATCCCCAACCAATAAAATAAAATAAGACAAAAATCTGCAATCTTTTGGTGAACCCAAAGGAACACTAGGGGAAACCACAGCAAAACGAGAATGCAGCATCGGAAGGAGAAGATCAAATAGGATTTACTCACTGAAAGAAACTAAGGGCATCAGTTTGCAAGAGAGCCGAGTAGGGCTTCCTCTGCAATACACTTTGCATTAATTAACAATTGACAAATCAATTAATTCTATATTAATACTGACTTCTACCAATAGATATAAAAGAATGTTTACAGCCAACAGACAGATGGCTGAGGTTGAAAATTCAAATGATTCCCAATGCTTTTTTTTAAATGTAAGATAAATAGCCAGTCATATTCTACCATGTACTGTCACTCTTAAAATTGCTGCCTGGTAGCAGGATTGGCTGTAGCAAGATTTGCCTGTGCAGAGGTTCTTCCAAGAACAAATCTCCTCTAGTGATGTCAAATAATGGTTTTATCTCAATTTTCAGTCAGTACCTTAACTAAAATAAATGAAGGGAGCCTTTCTTGGAATAACTTTCTGCAAAGAGCCAAGGAGATCATTTTTGAGAATTTCTGGATATTTTTTCCAATTTTTATTTCAAAATGCAGGACGAAATTAGATCTCTCAGCCACAAAAGAACTGAGAATCTGAAACTGCCTCCACCTTAGTAAATAATCCAGGTATCTTCTACTACCATATTTGGCTGTTCTAATGGTCTCATACATCACAAACCTCAAGCTTTCTAAGCTCACTAATATCAACCATATGCCGAAGACATATGAATCATGGAAAGAAAACTACAAAAACAAGTGTGTTATTCACGCACTTCCACAATATGTGATGAAAATCCAGTCTGGGACATTTCGAGGCCAAAGGATATCTCCTTCTTGTTGGTGCCTAAAAACAAAAGGAAGGCAGTTAACTACCAGACATATCTAAGGAAAAATAGCCAGATGGCAAATGAATGAAACAAAATTCTGTTGAATTCTACTAAATTAAATGAAATTCTACTGAATTCAACTGGAGAAAATTAACTAAATCATATATTTTCCTTTGTGGAATCGTGGCTTAAAGATCCTTAAAGTGGGTTGGATTTGTGGCTCCTCTTGTTATACGATCTAATTCTCTAATTCTAAACTATATGCTGCTATGTCCAAGGATGATGATGATGATGATGACGATAATAATAATAATAATTCAGAAATCTTATCGCCTCCAACTTTTAAGGTTGAAAATTCAAATGATTCCCAATGCTTTTTTTTAAATGTAAGATAAATAGCCAGTCATATTCTACCATGTACTGTCACTCTTAAAATTGCTGCCTGGTAGCAGGATTGGCTGTAGCAAGATTTGCCTGTGCAGAGGTTCTTCCAAGAACAAATCTCCTCTAGTGATGTCAAATAATGGTTTTATCTCAATTTTCAGTCAGTACCTTAACTAAAATAACTGAAGGGAGCCTTTCTTGGAATAACTTTCTGCAAAGAGCCAAGGAGACCATTTTTGAGAATTTCTGGATATTTTTTCCAATTTTTATTTCAAAATGCAGGACGAAATTAGATCTCTCAGCCACAAAAGAACTGAGAATCTGAAACTGCCTCCACCTTAGTAAATAATCCAGGTATCTTCTACTACCATATTTGGCTGTTCTAATGGTCTCATACATCACAAACCTCAAGCTTTCTAAGCTCACTAATATCAACCATATGCCGAAGACATATGAATCATGGAAAGAAAACTACAAAAACAAGTGTGTTATTCACGCACTTCCACAATATGTGATGAAAATCCAGTCTGGGACATTTCGAGGCCAAAGGATATCTCCTTCTTGTTGGTGCCTAAAAACAAAAGGAAGGCAGTTAACTACCAGACATATCTAAGGAAAAATAGCCAGATGGCAAATGAATGAAACAAAATTCTGTTGAATTCTACTAAATTAAATGAAATTCTACTGAATTCAACTGGAGAAAATTAACTAAATCATATATTTTCCTTTGTGGAATCGTGGCTTAAAGATCCTTAAAGTGGGTTGGATTTGTGGCTCCTCTTGTTATACAATCTAATTCTCTAATTCTAAACTATATGCTGCTACGTCCAAGGATGATGATGATGATGATGATGATGATGATGATGATGATGATAATAATTCAGAAATCTTATCGCCTCCAACTTTAAATGGACAATTAATCTTCAGTGAAATCCAGGGCATACTTTAGCAGGGCACACAATACCTGGAGGACTTGAGATGTTGCTTTTCCAGAAATGGCTCACCTTCCAAGCTGAAAATCCTTTCTCCAAGAGCATCTACAATATCTTTAAGAGCAGCTTCATCACTGACATTAAAGAAATGCTTCTCATCTGGGTCACTCGCTATAAACTTGATTTCTTTCAAGAAGGCTTCAGGATTGATTCCTCTTCTATTGTAATAGCCAAGAACCTAGAGCAGAAAGCAGAAAGATGTGTCTCAACATTTCCCCACACAATAGAAGATAATTTGTGAAAGACCAGAAGGGTGCAGTTTTCAGTTGTATGAGCACATATACTTGTATATCAAGGCATTCCAACCTGGCCAGAAATCACATACCTGGTAAAAACCAAGTGAAATGCGAAGTGACTTCTGTTGCTTCACATGATGCAAGCCCACTGCAGTTTAAAATGGTTGACAATATGCACTATTTTAAACCACAGTAGGCTTTCATTGTGGTTAAGCCGGGATGAGAGAACTCTTCTTCCTTGGCAGGGTTTTTTTGTCCAACAGGCATCTCAACAGCAGTGGTCAGGGAACACAGTGGTAGAAGCAGTGGCGGTATCAGTGCCTGGAACATCTTTGATGGCCAGGGAGACTCCCTTGCCTCTGCCGCTGCCACCAATGTGCTCCTGAGTTGCCACCACCATTCAGTTGCTCTAAATCATTTTAGCAGTGGCCAGCTTGACCTTGATTTCACTTTCATTTCAAGGCAATACTGTCAAAACGCAGCAAAGGGGGCAAGGACTTACTGCAACGGCGTATCTGGTGACATTATCCTTCTCACTGACTTCAATAACCTTTTCAAGGTCTGAGCTGTCATGAGACTCTCCGTCTGTGATTACAATCATCACCTTCTTGGCCCCTTTCCTTCCACCTTTCTGAAATGCTTCTGAGCTGAAATTCAAGAGATTCACAGCAGGAATGAAGAGACTAACTTGCCGATGAAATGCTAGTATCATTTGTTGAAGAGTTAGTTCCATTATACTAGTCTTCATGATGGCCAGCGTATTTTTTTTAATTAATACCTTTTAAAGGCGGTGGTTCTTTATCTTTGGAATACAAAATGGGAATGATTTTTTTTAAAAGGGGGATTACTGAAGACCTCAATGTCATTTCTACAAGAACCATGAATCACATGTTTCAGAATGTAAGTATTTTAAAGGCATTATATGTCTCATTTCCATTGGCAGGGAATAAAAACATGTGGTGCATTTTGTTTTTTTCCCCAAAAGGTTCATACAACTCCTCTTCTGTGCATTCAAATAGCAAAGTGTCAGGCTATGCATGTTAGCCATCACTATCCCCCCAGGTTCCAAAGGTTTTTCAGCTACTGATGTATATATGTAGAACTTCTCCATCTGAAGAAGGATTACTTCCTAGCCACAATTTTCCTTCATATAAACACTGAATCATATCAGCCCCAACTCTTTCCTATGTGTTCCAAATATGTTCAACTGAGTGACGACACAGCTGGCAAACACATCAGCTGTGGGGCTAATTTGGGCACTTCCTTTAGTATACAGGTCCTGTGAATACTGCCATTGCCTTATTAAAGTATTTGTGTTTGGATGTGATGCCTGGTTGGTTACAGTGGATAGCCAGTGTAATGATGAGACCAAAAATTATAATTTTCACACAACTTATAGTTTTGTGATGTTACAGAAAGAATATTGCGAGCTATATTTCTTAATATACATTTTCTATATTCAAAAATAGACACCCCCAAGGTTAAAGTATGATGTATTTTTGTCTAGGGAGAAGGAGACACACAAAACTTGCCTATTATGTGTTACTGCGCTTTTTAAAAATATATATTAATTTAAAAAAGTGCTTTTAAAAAGTATATTATGAAAAGTTTATTATTTAATAAAAAAGAATAGAATGGCTGTGTTTTAGGGTTGTAGTTCCTTCCAACAGATGTAAAATGAGGCAATTAATTTGTTAAATGGAGGTGTTGAAGCTTTAATCTGTGTGGAAAATGCACCAACACTTTGCCAATCTGTGGTTAACTTTTGTCTTTGGATTCCAGAATCATTTGTTTTCATACTTTTTCAGTTCTTGTTTTTTGCCCGTGGCACATGTAAAGCTGGATTGTATTTGACTCTTACTGCCCAACCTGCCACCTGCTTGGTAAGTTTCATCCCAGTTTCATGCACTTCTTGCCCACAGGTGTCCATCTGTCAAGCTGTGAAATGTTGAAGAATATTCTCACCGAGCGAATTCTATCCCAAACGCTGTTCGGGTTTCCGTACCCCCCCTCTGCTCTATGTGTCGAGCAGCTTCCACTACGTCTTTCACAGACCGATAGTCATTCAAATGAAACTCATGCACAGCATCCTCTCCATACTGGATGACTCCAACCTAGGGTGAAAAGGGAGTGTGTTGAGAATAAAACACTGCTTGTTTATTCTTTAAAATGTTATGCTTTCCATGTGACATTAACACAACATATATACAGTAAAGCCAAGTAATTACAAAATGAAATGTATTAATAAACACGAAACTAGCACATGAAATGCATAAAGACCAAAAACCACTTCAGAAAGAAACTGTCAATTGCTGCCTGCTCTAATATGTAGTTTAATATGTAGTGCATTAAGAGACAGAGCCTAGAAATTTACCTTTAAAAAAACAACTCATTTCCCTTATCCATTACGGTGTTTGGTAAGTAACCTATTGTCATTCCTGTCAAAATGTCTCCAGAAAGTCTTTAAAATGCCCTTTAAAATCACTTTTGAAATAACTAGAAAAAATTACTGGTTATACCAGAAAGGTTACTTGAATCTTGCTTTATTTTGAAATATATCTCATTGCACCCTTGCCTGACTTACACTGGTCTGCCAGTACTGTTGTTGTTCTTACCCACAGTTATTAGTGATAAAGGGTTTTCTTTTTTGGTCCATTGTCCACCTAAATGAAACTTTTAAACAACCTGTAATGATGCAAATGGCTTTTTTGCAGCATAAGAGTAAACTTTTCAGGAGGCCATTGAGGGCTAAGACCATCCCTTCCAACACTGCCCCCCTCCCAGACAAATGCAATCTCCCGTGCTGGAAGGGCAGTGGTGGGGCACCATGCCTGCAGTGGATCTAACTGAGTTCCCCACCCTATCATGCAGGAGCAAGTTCCACTGACTAGAGCAGTGGTGTCGAACTGTGGCCCTCCAGATGTTCTTGGACTTCAACTTCCAGAAGCCTTCACCACCACCTCTTCGTTCGTTTAGTCGTTTAGTCGTGCCTGACTCTGCGTGACCCCATGGACCAGAGCACGCCAGGCCCTTCTATCTTCCACTGCCTCCCGGAGTTGTGTCAGATTCATGTTGGTTGCCTCGATGACACTGTCCAACCATCTCGTCCTCGGTCGTCCCCTTCTCCTCTTGCCTTCACATTTTCCCAACATCAAGGTCTTTTCCAGGGAGTCCTCTCTTCTCATGAGATGGCCAAAGTATTGGAGCCTCAGCTTCAGGATCTGTCCTTCCAGTGAGCACTCGGGGTTGATTTCCTTTAGAATTGATAGGTTTGTTCTCTTTGCAGTCCAGGGGACTCTCAAGAGTCTCCTCCAGCACCACAATTCAAAGGCATCAATTCTACGGCGGTCAGCTTTCTTTATGTCCAGCTCTCACTTCCATACATCACTATAGGGAAAACCATAGCTTTGACTATTCGGACTTTTGTTGGCAAGGTGATGTCTCTGCTTTTTAAGATGCTGTCAAGGTTTTTCATCACTTTCCTCCCAAGAAGCAGGCGTCTTTTAATTTCGTGGCTGCTGTCTCCATCTGCAGTGATCATGGAGGCCAAGAAAGTAAAATCTGTCACTGCCTCCATATCTTCCCCTTCCCCACCACCTCTGCTCGCCAGGATTTCTGGGAGTTGAAGGCCAAGAACATCTGGAGGGCCACAGTTTGACACCACTGGACTAGAGTGATCTAAAGTAGTGACTAGAATGTAGCTTGCGTTTTGCAAATGATTGAGGATGGATCCCATTTTCTTCCCCTGGGTTAAGCTAATCTTGCAGCTTTGGATAGACAAAGAATGAATGCTGGAGGCATTCAAGGGAAAATTGAAAAACCATCTGTCATATATACTTTGATTTTGATTCCTGCATTGGGCAAGGCATTGGGCTCAATGGTCTTACAGGCCTCTCCCAACTCCATTATTCTACCATTCTATGATTTCTCTGTCTGCTGTTGGACTGAAAACTTTCTTATAACCTAAAGAACCAAGTGAAGGTGTCCACGTGGGTGTTAGGTTTCAGGAGAATGAACCAAGGCCAGCATATCTGGCTTGTATGCAATTCCGCAGCCCCCACCCTCCCAGTCAGTTCAATGTGCTTAACTTTGCCAACCTTGCTTTTGCATGCAAGCAAAATTTATCCCAGAAGAAGAGCACAGTTGGAAAGGGGAAGGTTTTTCTCTTGCCAAAGCACACGGATACAGATTTGTTAAATAAAGTCCTGATAGAGGAGAAATCCACCATGTGTGTTTTCTCACCTGTATTTGACCTGGTCCAATATAAAATTTCTTCAAGATTTTTATTAGGAAATCCTGAACTTCTGCCCAGGGGTAAATGCTGTTGGATCCATCCAGCACGATAATTATATCCATGTATGTCTGGCATCCTATGACAGATCATACAGTAGATCATTATGAAATTTCAACTACTGTACAGGTACCTGCAGGAAATACAGCAGGAGGAAGAGAATCCTGATTCTTAGGCTAACCCTTTTCTCTCCCCCTGTCCTGTGTTCTGGTGTATTTCTTATTTGCAAAGTCTGGAAATATCTATACTATCTATTTAATCAGCTCAAGAGGGGCTTCCTCCATCAACATGTAACTCCGGGAGTTCTGGTTTTCTGAGAGGGAAAGGTACAGTTCCCACAATCTTTTGAAAGAAGTCATGACAGTTGAACTGCTGTATAAGCTTGTAGTGCAGTGTCTGTGCTAAGCCATGCTATTCACAACTAAGTTGCATAGTGCTAGAGGCTTAAGGCCACCCAATTATGAGCCACAGCTTTGAAAGGGTAGAAGTCACAATTCACTTCCCTCAGCAATGACAGTAGCCGTGACTCTTAGAAGGCAGGGTTCCTACAATTGCAGAGATAGTGAGGTCATTTGAGAAGTCTTGGCCTGTTTTATTTGGAATGTTGTGAGATGTGAGTTGGCTCCTGAGATCACTGTTGCAACATGACATGACTCTGAGCAGAATGAGAGCATGCTTGCATAGTTTGCTTACACCTACACCGAGGAGACTCTCTGGTCTAGCAAAGAAACATATGGACATGTGCTCCTCTAAGGGCAAGGCATCACATGCAGCTGCTCAGGGCATTCAGCTGGGCCTTTGCAATATGTGTAAGCCCATGAAATAGAAAGGGGACAGAAAGAGAGAGGCCGTCGAAAAATTTGTTTTATTTCATTTCACTCCCTAAGGGTGTGGTCCCACTGGCTTGAATCAGTTCCTTTCCCACCTTTTTTATGTCAGCTTCGAGTCACATAGTATAAAAATCAGTAGCCATGTTCACTATTGACTGAAACAAAATCCTGGTAATTAAAACTGGTTTTGGGGGTTGGGGGTACATTGAAATCAACACATTTCCTTTCCTTTTTAGAAGCACACTGTTTTAAAAGATTTTGATTTAATATATTATTAAAAGTAACACATTGCTAAATTGACTGTTTATGAGGGGCCATCTGTTCTCACAATAGTCACTAGAAATGGGAAAACACTTCAGAGGTGACTCCAGTCAATTATGATAGAAATATTGGAACTGGAGGAAAGAAGGCTTCCAGGGGGTTCAGCAGAAAGGGAGCTGATGGGGGAGCCTCAGTTCCTGCCTCACTCTCCTGGATGCTGCCTCTTGGGGGAGGGGGAAGCCCACAAGTTGTGTTTGCACCAAGCTCTGTCCCGGCTGTGTGCCTGCCAGTCTTCTGCTGCTCTGTCAGATCTTTCATTGGCCGAATGGTGAGAATGGGGTAGGTAGTTGTAATGCTGAATGTATTAATGGATGCAGCAATAAACATTTTAGGAAAGAATAAAGGGGAAAAAATTTAAAGGAAAATCAGCAGTGTCTCTGCTATCCGTAATCCACATAGGCACAAGTTAAAACGACAGCAGCGTTCACGTCTACAAAACTGAATTGATTTAGAAGCAAGGTATTTTAAAAAGCCCCTGTTGGACAGCTGGAAAAAAAACTTGCCTTGTAGCACATATAAATCAGTTTCATCTGTGCATTGTGGGTCTGGAAATATATACATTGATTTAAATAATGCACAAATCTATTTAACTGTGGTTCTTATTGCCAGTGAGATTGCACCCTTATGGGCAGGAGAACATAGGAAAAAAGACATATCTTGCAGTCTGAAGGGAAAGGTGCTTCTTTTGCCACTACTGTTTATGTTTTAACTGCACAGAATTGCCATTACATGGACAGCTGATCCCCTTTCCTACTGTTTCAAACCTCCTTTTAAGCACTCTTTTCTAGTTTGTTTTCCTGAGCAAATCTCCAATGAGAAAGAGAGAAGAGGGTGAGACGTAACAGCCTGTTTCACATACTCTGGAGAGCTGGAGCCACAGTCTTGGAGAATCTGAAGTTGGAGTTCACCCTGGAGCACATTCCTGTGGTGTAGTAAGAACTTCCGCACTCATGAGACCAGAGGGGGCTGCAAGCCTATGGGAAGGAGGGAAGGAATGGAACACCAGGAGTACCAGTGTAATTGCTTTCTGGGGCATTCAGCCGCACTGCATGGTAGAAGTCTCTTCCAGATGTTTCATCCAGGTCCAGAAGTGGGGAAATGATTAGTCGTACAAAAGAGAACTACTGTATAGAAAGGTTGATCATCACTGTCACAGGAAGTGTCACATTTGTAGCACAGTCACTTGACAGGGAGGCAAGGAAAGACACTGTAAGAAAGTAGTATCTCACAAGAGCAAAACGACAAACAGATTGCAGTAGGGAAAAGGTACTGGTCGTATTTAAACCACTCTCACAGCAAGGTAGAACGAACAAAGAAGCCACCTGAGTTCATCTAGTGCACCCCTCCATCTGCAACTCCCAGAAACCCCAGCCAGCACAGTTGGTGGTGAAGGCTTCTGGGAGTTGCAGTCCAAAACTCCTGAGTAACCCAAGATTAAGAACCAGTGATCTAGTGCACCCCTCCACTTGCATCTCTCCAGGTTTCCTGTTGCTGCCAATGATTTTGCAACTGACATTTGGTAGCAGCATTAGAGGAGATGAAGGCAGAAACCCCCCACCTCCATGATCCATGGGGGGACAAAATCATCAGTACAGTATGATTAGCGGGGCGATAGGGAAGTATTGGTAGGTTTTCCCAGATTAAGAGCCACATGTTGTCCACAAATGTTTTAAACTTTGTTTTACAGTTATTTAAGTTATGGAAAAAAGAGCAAGAAGTGCACGGGGGGAAATAGAAGGAGAAAGAAAGAAAAAGAAAGAAAGAAAGAAAAGAGACAATGGAAATAAAAGGCAAAAAAAGGGCACTGTGGCATAGATAAGAATTAAAAGTGGATCCTAGGCCTGAAACCATCAAAGACTATCAGTCCCAAAAAGTATCCACAAGTTTACATGTAAAGAGAAGTTAATAATAACGATTTACTGTCAAGTCAACTCTGAATTACAGCAACTCTTACTGGGGGTTTCTATATATATACAGAACTCATGTCTACCATTCCCTTCTTCTGGCTAGCTCTTCTGGGATGCTCAGTGAGCAACTGAATTCCCATACTTTGGCTCCATATCTAGATGCCTAACTCACGGAGCTATCCAGCCAACAGGGAAGCTATCTGCATGTAAATAATTTCTTACCAGAAAGCTGTTGTCTTTGGGGTTTGTCGTCAAACTCAAACCGAGACGCATATTATCCTTGCGCTCTGACACATTGGATAGAGTTACTCGTCCTTAGGAAAGAATATTGTAGTTAGGTATACTGCAGAAAGTGGCCACAGATATGGTAAAGATTATGCTATACAGTGGGGTCTTGACTTAAGAACGGCTCAAGTTAAGAACATTTCGACTTAAGAACCACTCTCATAGGAAAATATTGACTTGACTTACATACTTAGATTTGAGTTAAGAACTGAAAAAAAAAACCACGTGGGAGGCAGGGAAAGTGCAAAATTTGAACTTTTAGTTAACTGTTGGCCAGTGAAAAGGGTGCCTGTCTGCTTCCTCCCTCCTCCCAGCGTTTAGAGAGTGGATTGGGAGACAGTCTTCGGACTGCCTGGTACTGTCCTGCCTGGACTGTATTTTCCCTGCCTTCCCTGAACCTTTCTTGACCTAAGAAAAAAAGAAACAAAATATCCCCCTCTAGTGGTCGAAGGCAGAATAGCAGCTTCCCATTAATTTCTATGGATGGAAAAGAGGAGATACAGATCAAATGGTTTTCAATGCATTCCTATGGGAAACGCAGATTTGACCTGAGAACTTTTTGACTTGAGAACCGTCTTCCAATACGGATTAAGTTCTTAAGTCAAGACCCCACTGTACAGCATTTGTGCAACAATCGGATACTCAGATTAACTGGCTTTGGATATTTTTGGAAAATGAAGTGTCACTTTTAAAACTGCAAAATAATAAATGTCTACTTTGAGGGGTGGGAACTATAACTGTAACAATCTAGTTTTTAAAAGTAACTTTCCAAGTTCTGTAGATGGGTCACTCCTAAGCATTTTTAAAAATGAGCCAGACTTTTTAGCAAAAAAGTTGCATCCTCATAAATACCATTAAGAACAGGAAATAGACATAAATCCAGTATGTGAGACTCAGGTATGTTACTGGGAGTTTTGCACATGAACAAATTAGTGCCTGGGGGCACACAAAGAAGCTCACAGTGCCTTGTATCCAGTAGACTTACCAAGATTGAGCTTAGAACAGGTGCTGTTGGCTTCCCCATTCACCGAACACTTGTAGACATCTCCAGTCTTCTGGTGTCCACTGGTCTCATAAGGAGCTCCTACCACCAACCTGGAGGAATAGATTTATATCCATCTATACATATCCATCTACTTGTGCCTTTTAATAGCCATTTGTGAATGCTACTCTTGTCAACATACAAACAGACTTTCTTTAGAAGGTGGGAATTATTGAAGTATGTAGATAGAACTTAGCCTCCAAAATATCATAACGGTATGCTGTAAAATTAAGCTATAATGTGAGGCTGGAGCATTTAGAAGGTGGGAATTATTGAAGTATGTAAGAACTTAGCCTCCAAAATATCATAACAGTATGCTGTAAAATTAAGCTATAATGTAAGGCTGGAGCGGGATCCTGTGAAAGTGGAGATAGGAAGAAAGCATAGCAGGAAAAGTTGGTTGATGTGGTTGGCATGAGCTACAAAGCTGCATAGGAAAACTGTGGAATGTGAAAGTAGGATCTGGATGTTAGGGGTAGCATCCTAGATGAAGATTTAGTGTTCCCGTTGGAGAAAAGCACAAAATGCAAGTTCTGGAAAGAATACCGGCAAGAAGAATGACTGGCTAATTTTCCAGTCTGTGAGATATTTTGGCATCACCTTATAAGGAGCTATGCTAGTATATCAAATGAAACCACTGCTCTGTCTAGTCTACTAAAGTCCCCTTTGAGTGACAGGGCTACAGTCAAAGAAATATTGCACATGGATTTTTCCAGTGAACTGTGTGGACTCATGGAAAATACTTTGAAACCTGAAGCAAAGAAAAAGATGCACAGAAATATTTCATGTACAAAAGGTGACTGAAGGGGCACCTGGGTCTTCGAGCTGAATATTTCAGTTGTGGACGAAATCTATTGTTCTTAGTTTGTGCTGCCAAGTGGAACTAACTTATAATGACCAAAATAGGGCTTTCAAGGCAAGTGAAACGTTTAAGGAGCAGCTTTACCACTTCCACACCCCCAATGAGTTTCCAGAGTCAAATGGGGATTGGAACCCAGGCCTCCTAGTCTTAGACCACACTGAGTATACCCAAAGTGTACAATTTTCTAAATAAAGAAATACAATATATTTCATTCCAACATTTTCTTAATGATGACTCACTTTTAAGGTATCATCATGCTACAAAAACATTTGCAATCACTTCAGAAACAGAAAGGAGACTGTTTTTCCAACACAAAACTTGCAGAGTTTTGAATTCCAGATAAAAATTCCATTTTTGCTATGCAGTAGAAATACAGATTCACAGAGGATAATAGCTTCAAGTTACCCAAATAGTTCACCCCTTTCTCATTAACTGGTACTTAAGGTCACATTAACTACAAACTAACAACTCTGATTCCAACATACTAAAGAGAGAGAAAAGAGAACACTCAGCAGAGAGGCGGGTCTCTCTCTCTCAGAATTCAGAGGTGGGGAGGAATGATTGGTTAGTGCTGGACAGACTGACAGTCACCTCAGTCCAGAAAGGACCTTCCCAGCCAAACAAACTACAGGCATCATGTGAGGCTGTAAAAACTCCAACACAAACATGGAGCATGACAGCAAAGTTTGTTTGAGTCTAGTAGCTCCTCACAGTTTTTGAGAATTATAAAGAAGTCTTTGCTGCTTCCTGTTTGGAAGAGATAATATTTTCAAATCACTTGAATCAAAGCCCAACAGGAGTCCAGGACCTAACTATATCTGTTGTTATGAAAATAAAATATTACAATGGAGGGCAGGAGACAATATCACTTATTGTAATTTCTTGGATGCAAAATTGCCAAACAGTGGATTAGAGTGGAAAATCCCCTGCATTTCTGATGAGGGTTTCAAGTTAGATTGGAATATAGAGAGCCCAATTAGATCCCCCCCTCCTTTCTGCCACAAAACAACCTGCCCAGGAACAATCTATGACACATTAGGACTATGAGGCTTAGTGGCCAAATAGAAACAGGATTTGCCTAGTCACATACAAGTCAGGGAGCATACCATCTGTTGCTTGCTACTCTTATTGATGCTACTAGATTCTGGAAAGCCTACATGAAAAATGCATAATTTTATGAAAAGATTTATAGTGGAGTGTTTTCTACTTGGTGGTTTGGGGAGGGAATACCAGACATAACAACAACAGCAACAAGATTCATCAGCCTCTCCTCACATGCTACTCGGGCAACACAGAAAAAAGAAATTTAGTGAACTGGTGAATTCTCATAACTGGGGATGTGCACAGCAACATTTTTCTTATTTTTGTTTTCTTTTGTTTCAGTTTCTTTTGAAGGGAGTAACTCTATTGTTTAGAACCTAGTATGGTGCGGTGGATAAGAGTGAGAGACTTGATAGTAAGTAACAGTGATTATTCCTATATCCATCTTTACAAGAACTGGGAAAATATTTCCATAACTGCCAAGTTTCCATGAGGGCTCAATCACCACATCTCATTTATAATCTCAAGTCCAACCCAAAGGAAAATGATGTGTCATTGTCTAAGAAGGACAGGAAATGTGGCTTCCATTCATTTTAGGATTTTACTGACATTCATTGTCAGGTCTGTTGTGAGTTTTGGTTTCATTCATAGCATTGAGCATGAATGACTCATTGCTGGATGCTTTATATAGCTTTGGAATCATGTCTTTGGAATTGGGCAGGCAAAATGTTGGCTTCTCTAGAAAGGTAATTAAAATGGTAGAGGTAGCCACAGAACGTTGATGTGTATCAATCTCCTCATGTCCCAGTGTGAATATCTCTGTCAGGAAGGAGTGGAATACGCATGGGTGACTATTGGACTATGATTCCTAGCAGACATATTTGATGTGTTTTCTTCCTTCCTTCCTTAGCATATTTTGCACAGAGGGCTACTTTGAAGTAGTTTCCCCTGCAGTCTCCTGCCTGTTTCCCCATCTGGGGCCTGAGTCACTCCGGTAGTACAGTTTACCCAGTTCATGCTAGGCCACAAGTATGGTTCATGGAAGCAACCATTTTTCAACAGTAGAACTGGTTATAATTGACTTCTGCACAATTGATAGGAGTTGTGAGTGCTCTGACTTTTGCCACCATATTTTGAACCCCAGTTTTGAACTAGACTGAACAATTAACTCACCACATGTGTGGATATTTTCAAGCCAATTATTAACTCACCCACAGTTTACCTAATACTTTGTGGTTCCTTCTGTGAATAAGTTCTCATTTGTTTTTTCCTTTTCACGATTTCTAGCTAATCCAAAATACTGCCAGACAAGACTAACTGCTATAACTTTAGACTTATAGATTTGAGAAATTCTTTCATATCAAAAATCTGATATTCAGTGTCTCCCATCTGCCTTTGGCTCACAAACTAGCTTATCTCCCAGCAACTTTCTCTCCCTGCTACTGCTTCCTGTTACACAACTATTTGTATGTAGTTGTCTTCAGCCAAAGAGACCTTTAATTGGTTGTTGTGGGTTTTTCGGGCTCTTTAATTTATTTCTCAGAAGCTGCATTGTTTCCCATAGTCCTATGACTGGTCTCAGCAACAGTCTTGGAAGCAGTTCATGAAAACCTCACAGCAACTAAACTTCAGCAGGTTTGCTCTGATAAGCAACAGCCCCTCCCCACTCAATGTGCAGTTGTTTGTGACTCAGTGATGAAGGTGGGCAGGGGTGATGTGATGGCCACCACCTCTCTAGGGATGCTGGAAGGGGCCACATAGGCAGACACCAACGTGGCTAGCCCTATTGCACCATCACTCAGCAGAGGGGTCAGCTGAAATTTGTCCATATTCCATGCTAGTGCCAGTACTATTGGCAGCAGTTGCCAATTAACTTGCGGTCTGTTTTTACTTCCAATGTTGGTGTGATTGCGTGATTATTTCATACCAGTCCAGAACCACTGCCAGCTGGCTTACATGACAACCGATAGCCACTTTTAGCCATTGTTGTTTAGTCGTTTAGTCATGTCCAACTCTTTGTGACCCCATGGACCAGAGCACGGCAGGCCCTCCTGTCTTCCAATGCCTCCTGGAGTTGGGTCAAATTCATGTTGGTAGCTTCGATGACACTGTCTAACCATCTCATCCTCCGTCATCCCCTTCTCCTCTTTCCTTCACACTTCCCCAACATCAGGGTCTTTTCCAGGGAGTCTTCTCTTCTCATGAGATGGCTGAAGTATTGAAGCGTCAGCTTCAGGATCTGTCCTTCCAGTGAGCACTCAGGGTTGATTTCCTTTAGAATGGATAGGTTTGTTCTCCTTGCAGTCCAGGGGACTCTCAAAAGCCTCCTCCAGCACCACAATTCAAAAGCATCAATTCTTCGGCAGTCAGCTTTCTTTATGGTCCAGCTCTCATTTCCTTACATCACTACAGGAAAAACCATAGCTTTGACTATTTGGACTTTTGTTGGCAAGGTGATGTCTCTGCTTTTTAAGATGCTGTTGA